TTTTTAAAGATTTATTTATTTATGTTTACAAGAACTGGGGTACAGGCCAGAGGTGTGGGGGGTAAGAGGATTCACCAGAGACAGAGTGGGGAACAGAACAGGCAGATTGACTGAAGTACACTGCTGAGGGGAGCAGCGATGAAACTGGAGGGATCTGCTGTGCCATGTGGGTTAGCTCCCGGTGGGGTGATTGAACTTGTGCTGCAGGGGCTGTGGATTTCTTCATAGTGCTGAGACTTAATCCCTTGCGCCACCAGGAAGGCCCCCTTACTTTTCTTTTTTAGCAAGACCCACCCCTGGTTATTTCCAACCATCCATTTTTCACTCCTTGCACCCAACTACTTGAAGGCTTCTAGAGGGAAAAATTCACAATGATGTTGACTAGTCATACTTTATACCAGTGATTCTTTAACTGGTACCAGCTTTACCCCTCCCCCTCTCTGGGATATTTGGCAATGTCTGAAGACATTTTTGATTGTCACACTGGAGTTCAGGGGAGAGTTCTATTGGCATCTAAACAATAGAAATAAAGATGCTGGGCCTCCCTGGTGGTGCAGGGGTTAAAGACACAGGGCTATCAAGCCATGCCAGCCTCTGCAGCATGAGTTCTATCCTGACCAGGGAGCTGACCCACATATGGCGCAGCAGACCTCTCCTGTCTCGCCTGCTGCACCCTCAGCAGTGTATTTCAGTAGATCTACCTGTTCTGCTTCCCACTCTGTCTCTGGTGAATTCTCTCGCCCTTGCCCCCCACCCCTCCACCGCCGCTGGCATATACCCCAGTTCTTGTACGCATAAATAAATAAATCTTTAAAAAAAAGAAATAGGGCCTCCCCAGTGCGCAGCGGTTGAGCGCTGGGTTGTGAAGCTGCCCGCAGCCTCTGCAGCGCTGGTTTGATCCCAGGCCGCCAGGGGAGGGTCCCACATGGGGCGCAGACCTCTCCTGCTGCCTGCTGCTCCCCTCAGCAGTGTACTTCGTCAGTCTGCCTGTTCTGTTCTCCGCTCTGGTGAATTCTCTCACCCTCCAGCACTTTTGACTGTGCCCAGTGCTTGTATAAATAAATAAATCTTTAAAAAAAAAAAAAAAAGAAAGAAAGGATGCTACTAAATATCCCACAATGCACAGGAACTACAACAGAATTATCTGACCCCAAATGGTGACACTGCTGAGGTTGAGAGATGCTGCTTTAACTATTCCAAGTCTCCAAGGAGCAACCGACGACATAGGGTCTTTGCATTTGCTGTTCCCTTTGCCTGAAATATGATTCTCTCATGACTGGCTTACTATTACTTCCTCAGAAGTACTTCCTTCAGTTACTCCCTCAGAAAGGTCTCCCTGACTTCACTCTAAAGTGGATCCAACCTCATCACATTATCCTGTTTTATTGCCTATGAAACATGTACTCTTTTGTTTATGTTTTTATTGCTTGCTTCCTCCCTCTCGATCTAATTACATGAGTACAATGTCCTTATGTATCTTGTTTATAACTGTATCCAAGTGTTAAGCACAGTGTCTGGTACATTATACAGGGACTCAGAAACTATCTGTTGAACAAGTAGATGGAAACATTACTATTTGCCTTTCATTCATTCATTCATCAAGTATTTATTGGTGATAAAACACATACATCTCTGCCCTCTTGGGATATATAATACAGTGGAGAGACAGACACTAAAAAAATGATCACACAAAGTAAATAATTTCAAACTCTGACAAAATCTTTGAAAGAAAAGCAGAAGTAGTGGTGACAGCATTGAGGAGGTGATCTGATTTAGTTTGAGGGTGGAGTAGTCAGATCAGGCTCCAGAGGAGAGGCGACATTTGAGCTGATAGCTGAAGAATGAGTTGGTTAGTGGGATAGAAGAAGGGGTGGGAGTAGAGAGAAGAGCATCCAGGCATAGAGAACAGAGTGTTCGTAGGCATTTTGATGGCAAGGAACATGGTACATTTCAGGAAGACAGAAGCCAGTGTGGCTGAAGAACAGAGCCGATACCATAGCCATACTATGGTATGGTACTTATTTGCTAAATCCAGTGGAGCAGTAGGAGCTAAGAAGTGTGGCTGGAAGATTTCAAACAGATAGTGACAAGATCCAACTTTCTAAAACAACAACAACAAAGGACAAGTGGGGAATCAAGGACTTTGCTTTGAACATAACTAAAGTGAGTCATCTGGCAAGATGGTGACTTGGTCTGAGGTGGGGCAAGTGAGTTTGGAGAGCAGTTGGATATACAGTTGACCCTTGAAAAAAGTGGAGGCTAGGGGTAGTGACATTCCCCCACAGTCGAACATTCATATATAACTTTTTAAATCTATCTTTTCCATGTATATAACTTTTGACTCCCCTAAAATTTAATAGCTTAGAAAGCCTTATTAAGGACATAGTCAATTAACATGTTTACAGTTATATGTATTATATTCTGTATACTTATAATAAAGTAAATGTTATTTAGAGAAAATGTTAGAAAGAGAAAGAGAAAAAGAAAACGTTATTAAGAAAATCATAAGGGGGTCTCCCCTGGTGGCGCAGTGGTTGAGCGCTGGGCTGTGAGGCTGCCCGCTGCCTCTGCAGCGCCAGTTCGATCCCCGGCTGCCAGAGAGGGTCCCACATGGCGCACAGACCTCTCCTGCCGCCCCGCTGCTCCCCTCAGCAGTGTACTTCGGTCCTTCTGCCTGCTCTGCTCCCCATTCTGGCTCTGGTGAATTCTCTCACCCTCCCGCGCTTCTGACTGTACCCAGTGCTTGTATAAATAAATAAATAAAATCTTAAAAAAAAAAAAAGAAAATCATAAGGAAGAGAAAGTACATTTATAGATTATTGAAAATAATCTATATAAGTGGACCAATGCAGTTGGAATCTGTGTTGCTCAAGGATCAACTGTACTCAGGTAATGAGAAACATGGGACTTTATAGCTGGAAATCACCTTAAAAAAACTCACCATTAATTAAAAAGTAGAATGATAAAAATGAGTTCATTACAGTCTGCTTTTTGGAGAAAAAAACCAGGCTGGTTAGCTTAGTGTGAGGAGCCCTTTAATAAGTTTATTGAATAAAAGAAGACTTACAGAGACTGTTCAAGAGGAACAATGAAAAAAATGTGACAGGAGAGGTTAAAAAAAGGGAGAAAAATGAAATGAGAACTTAAAAAAAGTGGGTAAGTCAGAGGTTTGAGAAGGTTGAAAAGAGGTGGATTGGAAGGAGACTGGGCAAGAATAGGGGGAGTAATGTGCACACAGGAAGAAGAGTACACGTAAGAGAAAGAAGGACTACCTGGGGATGCTGACTCCAGGGGAGCTGGAGATAGGGTACAAAGTAGATTAACGAGGGCCTCCCTGGTGGTGCAAGGGGTTATGATGCAACCTATGAAGCTGTCTGCAGCCTCTGCAGCACGAGTTTGATCCCCAGCCAGGGAGGTGACCCACATGGCACAGCAGACCTCTCCTGTCTCGCCCACTGCTCCCCTCAGCAGTGTACTTCGGTCAATCTGCTGTTCTGCTCCCCACTCTGTCTCTGGTGAATCCTCTCACCCCCCACATCTCTGGCCTGTACCCCAGCTATTGTATGCATAAATAAATAAATCTTTTTAAAAAAGTAGATTAAAGAGGGGAGAGAAACAGGTAGCAGAAAAGGCAGGAAGAAGGAAATAATAAAAGATGAGTCAGGAATGAGCAAATGGGGGATGCTTAGAAGACATGTCCTGAGGAAGGGGACATCAGTCAGGAGAGTGGAGTCACCCTACCGAGAGTGAGCCCTTGAGGGTTGACAGTAGGACAGGAGGGAGTGGGAGTGGAGTGGTCAGGGCTGAATCCCAGAAGTTGTGGAGGATAGAATGGTGGGAGCATGGGAGAGTCCATGCAAATTAGGCAGGTCCAGGCTGGGAATCAAGGATATGGCATATGGCTGGGGGGTCCCTGGGGGAAAAGGGGGGAGGTAAAGGTGGACAGGTTTGGAAAGACCCCCAGAGAGGGGAATGTTGGGTGTAGGCCTTACTGTACTCCCCACCCTCGGTAGGCTTCTGCCTCAGTGGTTTCTTCCTTCAGCTAAATGGACCCTGGATGTCGGAGGGGATAGTGACCACCCTAGAGGTGGGTGCGAAGGGCCCAAGCTTTAAGTCATGTCAGGGATGGGGATGGGGGCCAAGAAAGTGGGAGGTGTTGGAGCCGGAGCCGAGTTCTGGTGGAGGACACAGCAGGAGGGCCACCGACAGATGCGACAGAGGCACGAGGATGGCAGAGGGGGAGGCGCTGTGGAAGGGGAGGGATGCTGACGCGGGGAGTTCTGGGGGCCTGGGCCCTTCGCACCCACCTCTAGGGTGGTCACTGTTCCCTCCGACATCCAGGGTCTATTTAGCTGAAGGAAGAAACCACTGAGGCAGAAGCCTACCGAGGGTGGGGAGTACAGTAAGCCCTTGACACTAGGGCTCTTGACAGTAGGACCAGCTAGGATAAGGGGGGGGAGGGGATGGGGCGTAAAAAGAAAAAAGGTAAATTAAGAGTGGGGGGTAGGGGAGTAGAGACGGACAAGAGCACCTAGAGTGGAAACCAAAAGTCTCCGCGGCAGGGAACAGGCGCAGTCAAGGCTGACCGGGACGATCCCCTCCTCCCCACCCGGCTGCGCAGCGTTCCAGGTACATCAGGTGGAGAGAGGAAACGGGGCTTCTTGGTGTCCAAGGGAAATGTAGTCTAGAGGGGCTGCCCCTGATCTTAGGACTCCCGACAAGCCTCGGTTTTCCCCACCTCCAACGGTCAAAACCCAGCAAGTGAAGGGGCGTGACACCGGGGCTCAGGTTTCTTCCTCTTTACCTGAACAAGGAGGGGTAGGGGCCAGGACTTCCGGTTCAGGTAAGTGTCCCTTCGGTGACGTCAGGTCAACCTCGGCCTCCGCACCGGTCCCGCCCCCGCCCCCCCCCGCCCGCGGCGCTGCGATGCCCGCGGGGGCGCGCCCCCGACGCCCTACATATATATACTCAGGTGCGCCGCACCTGTCCTCGCGCACCTGCCCGCTCACCCGCTGAGGAGCCTCTCCGTGGTGCAGCGGCCTGGGGCTGACAGCCCAGGGTACTTTGGGGACTTCCAGCGCCCAGGACCGCGCCCAATAGGGCCCTCCACCTTTTGTTCCAGCAGGGTCGCCGGGAGCTGGGGAGGGAACCGCCGGACCTTCGCGGATCGCGTTTGTCTGCTACCTGTCCTCTAGGCGCAGCCTGTTCCTTCTGCTGTTGCGACCCTCGCCCCACCGGAGGGGGTCGATTTGTGTTTACTTCGGGTAGTGAGAAGATCTGCGGTCACTCAACTAAAACTTCTTGCTTTTTTTGGGAGCGACCTAAGACCACCAAGTGGTCTTTTGTGGGGTAGTCCCCTAAAGTTTGTTTTATTGCAGGGTCGCCTGCCCGGCGTCCCCAGTTTCTGAGGGCGGAAATGGCCAATTCGGGCCTGCAGTTGCTGGGCTTTTCCATGGCCCTGATTGGCTGGGTGGGCCTGTTGGCGGCCACCGCCATCCCGAAGTGGAAGATGAGCTCGTACGCGGGCGACAACATCATCACGTCCCAAGCCGTATACCAGGGGCTGTGGATGGACTGCGTCACACAGAGCACGGGTTTGATAAGCTGCAAAATATACGACTCGGTGCTCGCCCTGCCGGGTAAGTCAGAGAAATCGACGGGGCGGACGCGCCCAGGGCCGAGGTCGCGGGGTGGGGTGCCGGGCAGGGCCGGAGTCACCAGGGCTGGACGCCTTGGGTTGCTCGGGAGCAGGCGGGGAGAAGAGGAAGCTGCGGGAGCAGAGGGGCTGGGCGGGAGCGGGTCAGGATTCTGGGCGGCACGTGGGCCAGTACGCAAGGGCCAGCTGCACCCCCTCTTCCGTCCCTGCTCGGCCTCGGCTCCCGGCGGCCCAACCCACTCGAAAAGCGGGGTCCCAGACCCGGGTGGTCCCTTGCTCCACCGCCCTGACCAGGAATCGGCCTCCGCCATCTCCCACCCTTTTCTCTCCTACAAAAAAGGCCGCGCCTGGCGGAAGCTGCGGGGTCGACAGAGGGCGGCGGAGCGTGCGCGCGGTCAGACATGGGCCGCTGCCTGCGGCCTCTAATCTTATCGGCAGATTAGTCGAAGCCACAAACCCTGTGGCCCAGATAGTGGGGTCAGATCTGGGACGCGGGACGGCATGTGCGGCCCGTGCGGGGGATCCGGGTGCTACCTCCCCTTTGTCGCGGCCTCTCTCACCCTTCCCCCCACTCGGACAGTTTCATCGAAACCTTGTTGCCCCGGGCGGGTACTAGGTTAGAGTGGGCGGGGCGGAGCTGAAAGGCCTCGCAGTTAGGAGGGGGCAGGACCTAACCAGCTTGAGCCCGCGACTTGGACGCGGAGCGGGGCCCAGGGGGTGGGGTGCGGGGGTAGCGCAGAATCCTGCTGGTCGGTGGGCGCAGCCGGCGACTCCAAATCTTCCGAGGCCTGCCTTTTCCAGCAATGACGGTGTCGTTCTCCCTACCCCGCAGCGTCTGTGCAGGCCACTCGAGCCCTAATGGTGGTATCCCTGGTGCTGGGCTTCATAGCCATGATCGTGGCCACGATGGGCATGAAGTGCACAAACTGTGGGGGAGATGACAAAACGAAAAAGGCCCGTATAGCCATGGCCGGAGGTATCATTTTCATCGTGGCTGGTGAGTCACAGAACTAAGGTGGGCCCAAGGGCTCTTCTCCCTTCTCCCCATTTTGGACGAAGAGTGGGCAAGGTGACTTGGGGCTTAATGTATTGGAATTCTTCCTCTTTCCAGGTCTCGTTGCTTTGACAGTTTGCTCCTGGTATGGCAACCAGATTGTCAGAGACTTTTATAACCCTTTGGGCATCATGAATACTAAGTAAGTTCGGCAGTCTTGCCTCCTAAGGGGACAGGTTTGGGGTGGGCAAAGGGAGGGCAGGATCTCTGACCCCAATCCTCTTTCCACAGGTTTGAGTTTGGTCCTGCAATCTTTATTGGCTGGGCAGGGTCAGCTCTGGTCATCCTGGGAGGTTCGCTGCTCTCATGTTCCTGTCCTCGGAATGAGAACAAGACTGGATACCGGGCACCCCACTCCTACCCTAAGCCCAGTTCTAACAAGGAGTATGTGTGATCTGGGACCCCTTTGTGGCAGACTGAAGGTTATGTGTGTCCAGATAACTGAAATCTCAGGACCTGGGATAGAGATGGCAGTGAGTGGGCAGGATGTGGAGTGATTGGCAGCCTCCCAGTCACTCTAACCTTGCACATCATGTACAATGGGTGGGAAGACAAAAGGAGGGGAGGGTGTGCTTTTTGTACAATAATAAAAAGTGTGTTTTAGAAAGTTGGATTTTCCCCCTTCAGGGTTTTTGCTTTCTTCTCAGATCCTTGCCTGGGCCCTGAAGTATACCTAGTCAGTTAAAAAAAAAACACTGATGGAGCACCAGGGGTATGCTTGACCATCCGTGTGTTCCAACCCTTCATTGTTATTCAGACCCCAACACTTACTGACTCAAAGTTTCAGCTGCTTAGAGTCCCTCATCAATTCCCATCCATCAGTCCTCTCTCAACTTTTACTTAAATAGCTACCAAAATTTCTTTAATAAAAAATTAAGATTTTTATTAGGCATGGGGAGGTTTCTTTTTCTTTCACCTTCTATGAGAACTCCATCCCACTTTTTGTCCTATTGCACAATGATTCTGGGCTCATGGTCATAGCGCAGGGCCTCCACAGACATGGAACAAAGTTGTGACAGGGACAAAGTAAGGCCAACCAAACAATGGAAGGATGGTCATGGGCCCAAGGTCTTCCTCCTTCCTGTCTACTTATAATCTAGTCAAATTTCCTGGCCAGTCAAACATCTAGGTCATCATCTGGGTCTTCTTGGTCCAGGTCATCATAAGCATCTGGTTCATAGAAGATATGGCTGACAGCCCGGCCTGGCGTAGGGTGCAGAAGAGCCCGCTGCCTGAGAAGGGAGGAATTGGTGCTGGTTAGGATGGGTAATGTCTGGATACCCTCTTCCCAATGAATGTGATTCCCTCTTTGGCCTCTATTCTGTCTTGGTTCAAGTCCCTTTCTCTGATTTCCTTGTTTAGTTAGTACTCAAGCACCATCTGGTACTGGGATATACTACTATACTCCTCTACTAATAATAACCCAAGTTCTCAGCAGCTTGAGGGCAAGGATTCTATAGTAGTCTTGCTTCACCCACCCACACACAGAAAAACGTACCTACTAAGCCCGATAAATCTCTTTGTAGTACCCATCTAGCTTCCTAGTCTAGTACTGTTGCCGAGAGACAGGGTCTCTTCCCAGGGTCTGGTACTGGGATATACTCCTATACTGCTCTACTAGTAATACCTGGCTCTGCGCAAGCCCAGATTAATTATTTGGAGACAATGGTGGAAGTGGGACCCAAGGCTATATGGGAAAGAGACATAAAAGCCCTTTGCTATTGTTAGAGTATGGGTGGGTAAAGAACCACTCCCTAGACTGTCTCTGGAGGTGGACTTCAACCCCTATAAAGTCTGGAAGGTTAATCAATAACCTGCTGCCCCACCCTTTAGGCCCAGGTGCTGGGTATCTGCCCCAACCTTACTTTTCAGAGCTGAACTGGAAGGGGAGGGTCAAGTTATCTTTGGCTTCTTTCTCTTCCTTGGACAGGTGAAGGTTAAAGGTCAAATGAGTCGTGGGGTCCACCTGTAGGTACAAAGGATGCTGCCAATGACCCATTGCTAGAATCCCTGACCACACCCCAAAGTCTGCAATTTTTAGTCTCTCCTTTTGCCAGACTCCAAACTCAGTTCCCTGTCCTGGCCCTGGCACTCTTAGATACCTGGAGTTTGTGAAGATCTAGGTGGTCCTGGGACTCTAGGGGTGGTCCTCCTTGGAGATCCAAACTAAAGTCAGACAAGATGGAGAACCAATGAATCTGAGAAGAAAGAAGAGCATTTAACAGACTTTTTCCATCTTACTGAATAAACCAGAGCACTTAGAAACTAACGAGCTCCCAGGCATTTCTGTAACTGGGTCCTTTTAGCTCTTGCTTTCTACTTCTAATCCCTCCAACAAGGCTCCCCAGATAAGACTTCTTCCTTTTCCCCACTAGTAACTACTCCTGGCTCTTCTTTTCCATTTCCTGGAAAGCAGTATCTTTTATGGTTTAATAAACTCACAGGGGGCCTCCCCGGTGGCGCAGCGGTTGAGCTCTGGGTTGCGAAGCTGCCCGCGGCCTCTGCAGCGCTGGTTCGATCCCCGGCTGCTCCCCGGCCACCGGAGGAGGGTCCCACATGGCGCGCAGACCTCTCCTGCCGCCCACTGCTCCCCTCAGCAGTGTGCTTCGGTCTTTCTGCCTGTTCTGTTCCCTGCTCTGGCGGGTTCTCTCACCCTCCCGTGCTTCTGACTGTACCCAGTGCATGTATAAACAAACCCTTAAACAAACAAATAAATAAACACGCCTCTATAAAAAAAATAAATAAATAAACTCACAGGGTCTGATTCAGACAAAATGTGAGTTCAAATGCTAGCTCTACAACTTACTCTCTCTATAACCTTGGTTAAGTAACTTAAAACTTCATTCTTCCTGGATTTTTGCTGCTCAGGCTGCAAAATGGGGACAATAAAACAATCTACCTCATGGTAGTTGTGAGGATTAAATAAGGGAATGGATGAAATGATGAAAGCACAGGGAAGTGCTTAATCACAGCATTTTCAGGGCTATTCCCATCAAGACTTCCCCTGCCTGATCCAATCTCCAGTACACCTGGTGCTCTGACCTGATGGGTTGGGCGCTGTTGGTGCCTCCGATAGAGGATGTGGGCTGAGGTCTGGCCTGCTGTCCCTCTCAGGGTCACCTCAGTTTGAGCAAGGCTGCTCAATGCTCCCACAGGGCCTGGGCCATGAAGCTCTTCATGTAACAGGCCTAGCACACGCACCTGTTTCAATGGGGAGCCGCCACCTGGAGAGGGACAAGAAATATAAGCCATGAAGGCCAGTCAGGAGCATTCAGGGTAGTCCTGAGATAAAATAGTGGAGAGGAAAAAAGAAAGGATGTCCATATTAAACATAGTTCAGTCACAATCCTAATTTATCTTGGCCAGTTTCACTGCCCTGCTCTGATCCTTTCAGCCCTCAACTTTATTTTTTTATTTTTAAAGATTTGTTTATTTATGCATACAAGAACTGGGGTACAGGCCAGAGGTGTGGGGGTGGGGTGAGAGGATTCATCACAGAGAAAGTGGGGAGCAGAACAGGCAGATCTACTGAAATACACTGCTGAGGAACACTTAGTGTCAAGCACTGAACTAAACATTTTAACATTTCAACCTTACAAAGGTCAGCATCTTTAGGTTGAAATGTGTAAAACAACTAATATTTGACCAAATCTTACCTTAAAAAAGGACAATTCCAGAGGACCTCCCTAGTGGCTCAAAGGGTTAAGTCTCAGCACTATGAAGCTATCAGTAGTCACTGCAACATAAGTTCGATCCCTGGCCAGGGAGCTGACCCACATGGCGCAGCAGACCTCTTCTGTTTGCCTGCTGGTCCCCTCAGCCGTGTATTTCAGTCAATCAGCCTGTTCGGCTTCCCACTCTGTCTTTGGTGAATCCTCTCACCCCTGCACCTCTGGCCTACACCCCGGCTCTTACATGCATAAATCATCTTTTTTTTTTTTTTTTAAAAGACAATTCTAGGGCCTCCCTGGTGGCGCAAAGGGCTGAGTTTCAACACTATGAAGCTATCCTCAGAGGTGCAGTATGAGTTCAATCCCCGGGCAGGGAGCTAACCCACATAGTGCAGCAGACCTCTCCTGTCTCCCCGCTGTTCTCCTCAGCAGTGTATTTCAGTCACCTGCTTGGTCTGCTCCCCACTCTTGTCTCTGGTGAATCTTCTTACGCTGCCCCCGCACCTCTGGTCTGTAACCCAGTTCTTGTATGCATAATAATCTATATTAAAAAAAAAGAATTCCTGGGCCTCCCTGGTGGCGCAAGAGGTTAAGAGGCAACCTATGAAGCTATCCGCAGCCACTGCAGAATGAGTTCAATCCCTGGACAGGGAGGTGACCCACATGGTGCAACAAACCTCTCCTGACTTGCTCGCTGCTCCCCTCAGCAGTGTATTTCAGTCAATCTGCCTGTTTTGTTCCCCACTCTGTCTCAGGTGAATCCTCTCACCCCCCACACCTCTGGCCTGTACCCCAGTGCTTAAATAAATAAATCTTTAAAAAAAGACATTTCCAAATGGTTCGTTCTAATACTATAAACTCTACCCTCCTTTCCCCCATTTTTACAGAGCAAATGAAAGCATTGAAAGTAAGCTGGGTATTTGATTCCTTGATACAAAGCTGAGTGTTTTAACTCCAAAGTCCACTGTAGTACCCTCATTGTACTTCAGAGTACCACTGCCCCTTGCCTGATCAAATTTACCTAGCTGACCAATTGCTCTTCAAGACAGTTCCTTCCTTACTGTCTTGTACTCTGTGCATATTCCTTTATGATAGATGGCCCTTATCAGACTATCTCATAGCTGCTTGTTTACCTGCCTGTATCCTTTACGGAACTTTGAACTTCTAGAAGACAAGTATCTGACTATGGTTAGCTTTTACTTTCCCATTATCTAGAATTGTATCTAACGCATCATACATATTTAATGTTTACTGAATGAATGAAATGAATGAGTAAAAAAGAACTTGAAGTGCCTCCCTGGTAGTGCAAGGGGCTAAGTCTCAGCACTATGAAGCTATCCTCAGCCATGCAGTATGAGTTCGATCCCTGGGCAGGGAGCTAATCCACATGGAGCAGCAGACCTCTCCTGTCTCCCTGCTGCTCCCCTCAGCAGAATATTTCAGTACATCTGCCTGTTCTTGTTCTTACTCTGGTCTCTGGTGAATCTTCTCACCCCACCCCTGCACCTCTGGCCTGTACTCCAGTTCTTGTATGCATAAATAAATCTTAAGGAAAAAAAGAACTTGGAAAAGAGAAAATGTGACTGACAGATATCATTATGAAGAAGTCAAGAACTAGAATAAAGGCTAAAAAGATGAACGCGGTCTCAGATATGTTTTTCCTTAGGGTAGAAAGGGGCACATTCCTTAGCAGGGAGAGATGAATGAGGGGAAGCAGGGGTCTCACCAGGGCAGGAGTCCCAATGGCCTAGAGTATTCAGGGTCTGGCAGAGTGAAGCACAGGGGAGGTGAAGCAGCAGCCAGCTAAGTGAATCAAGAGCAATGGTGACAGGACCAGGATCTGCCCTCTTGCATATGGCTCTCAATGCTCCCAGGGGCCCCCTGGCAACATCTTCCCCCGTTTTCAACCAGTTGAGAGGGTCTTTAAAGAAGTCATGGTAAACCAACCTGCAAAGGGAGAACGGGAGACAACATAATATTAACCCATGCCCCCCATTTCAAACGTCATCTTCTGATCTTTGTGGCTTTTTTCACAATTTTTGCTACTATCCTAAATATTGATGAAAATTATTACTTACAGGTAGAATATGTTAACTGGAAAGAGATTTTGATGTCAGACAGCCCTGAACTCCAAGTTTGGCTTTGTTACTTGACTAAGATGACCGGATATATTACTTTATTTAAGATTCAGTTTCTTCATTTATAAAATAGGGATACCAACCTCTTAACATGTAGTACAGTGCTTGACATAAACTAAATGCTTGATTAGTGCTACTTATCATTATTATCAATTATATTATGAGTGGTACCTAAAGTGAATCACTTTCTGGATGGTTGAAGGGAAAGGAAAGAATGAGAGACATGGTTCCTATCCATAGTAAAGTTTATGAAAGGTTAAGAATTAAGTCATGGGGCTTCCTTGATGGTGCAGGCGGTTGAGTGCTGCACTGTGAAGCTGTCCACAGCCTCTGCAGCACGGGTTCAATCCCAGCCGGCTGGCGAGAATCCCACATGGCGTAGCAGACCTCTCCTGTCTAGCCCGCTGCTCCCCTCAGCAGTGTATTTCATCAGTCTGCCTGTTCTGTTCCCGGTCTGTCTCTGGTGAATCCTTTCACCCTCCCGTGCATCTGGCCTGTACCCCGGTTCTTGTATAAAAATAAATAAATCTTTAAAAAAGAATAATAAAAAAGAATTAAGTCATGTGGTACTAACTACAGATAAAATAGCAATCCAGAAAGGCAGAATGGCATGGGCTTGAAATCATTGTAGTAGAACATGTTACTAGATAATCCCTTTCTCTGTTCTGCTTCCCACGTGAATATCATCTTAACATATAGAACCACCTCTCTCAAAACAATGGCTGATAAAAAGTTAGGTCTTAACAGAAAAATATAAAATACTATTATCATTTAATGGGCTGTCCAGACCAGGAAGCGTTCTTTCTTTTTTTTTAAAGATTTATTTATTTATTTATACAAGCACTGGGTACAGTCAGAAGCGCAGGAGGGTGAGAGGATTCACCAGAGCGGGGAACAGAACAGGCAGGTTGACGAAATACACTGCTGAGGGGAGCAGCAGGCACGGCAGGAAAGGTCTGTCGTGCCATGTGGGACCATTGCCTGTGGCCGGGGATCGAATTGGCGCTGCAGAGGCTGTGGGCAGCTTCGCAGCCCAGCGCTCAACTGCTGCGTCACCAGGGGAGGCCCAGGAAGTGATCTTTCTTAATCAAGCAACGTAAATTAGTTCAGTGACCTTGTGATCTGGATGCTTTTCTCTGTCTCACAGAGACAGACTCTGTAAGTCTTGGGAATTCTACCTGCTAAGTCTGTTTACAGCTGTCCTAAACTCTGTTCCTACTGCTGTTGCTTTAAGCCATATCCCTGTCATCTGTCATTATTCTCTAAGATTCATTAGGGCAGGAACTGTATTTTCCTCATTCACTATTATATCTCCTGTGCCTAGCAGTTCTGGTTCATAACTGATGCTCATTACATAGACATCTCAGTCCCTGTCTCCAAATTGCCCCCTTCCAACCAATTCTCCACACTGGTCACTGGGTTTGTCTAACAGGATGATGTTACCGCTTTATTCCAAATTTTCAAATGATTCTCCATTACCCTAAGAATAATACATTCCTTTTCATGCTCTGTAATGCTTTTTACTATCATATACATTTTTATCTTTCTGACCTCAGGAAGTTCTTCCATGAACAGATATGCCTTACCGTATCTCCCTAACTTGGCACATGCCGTTACTTCCATCTCTATGCTATGTCCCAGAGTGTTGATGGAAGTTTGGAATCCATGTACGGTTTAAATATTACCAGTTTCTGAATAACTAAAAAGGCAGAATGCATTTTTATTATCCTCCAGTAAAGCCTGTAGTGCTGAACTGTAGTTGGTATTTTATTACTATTTCTTTTTAAACTTCTGGGCCTCCCTGGTGGCGCAGGGATTAAAGACAGAGCTATCAAGCTATCGCCAGCCACTGAAGCATGAGTTCCATCTGCGGCCAGGCAGCTGACCTCTCCTGTCTTGAGTGCTGCGCCCCTCAGCAGTGTATTTCAGTGGAACTGTCTGTTCTGCTCACCACTCTGTCTCTGGTGAATCCTCTCACCCCCATCACCTCTGGCCTACACCCCAGTTCTTGTATGCATAAACAAATCTTTTTTAAAAAGATTTATTTATTTATTTATTTATACAAGAACTGAGGTACAGTCCAGATGTGCGGGAGGGTGAAAGGATTCACCAGAGACAGAGCAGGGAACAGAATAGGCAGACTGACGAAATACACTGCTGAGGGGAGCAGCAGGCGCGACAGGAGAGGTCCGCCACGCCATGTGCAACCATTGCCGGCACTGCAGAGGCTGCAGAGGGCCCCACAGCACAGCGCTTAACCGCTTGGGCAGACTGCATAAATAAATCGAAAGAACACTGCCTCCCCTGTGGCGCAGGTTGAGCGCTGGGTTGCGAAGCTGCCCGCGCCTCAGCGGTGCCAGAGCTGCTCCCCGGCCACCGAAGGAGGGTTCCACATGGCGCGCAGACCTCTCCTGCCGCCCGCTGCTCCCCTCAGCAGTGTACTTCGGCTGCTGTTCTGCTCCCCGCTCTGGCTCTGGTGAATTCTCTCACCCTCCCGCGCTTCTGACTGTACCCAGTGCATGTATAAACAAAAACGAACAAACAAATAAATAAATAAATAAACATGCCTCTATAAAAAAAAAAAGAACAACCAAAAAACTTCTAGGGCCTCCCTGGTGGCACAGAGGGTTGAGCACCACGCTGTGAAGCTGTCTGCAGCCTCTGCAGAGCGGGTTCAATTCCCGACCGTCTAGGCAGATGCCCACATAGCGCGGCAGACCTCTCCTGCCTCGACTACTGCTCCCCTCAGCAGTGTCTTCGCCTGTTCTGCTCCCCGCTTTGTCTCTGGTGAATTCTCTCACCCTCCAGTGCCTCTGGCCTGTACCCCAGTTCTTGCATAAATAAATAAATCTTACAAAAAACACCAACTTCTATGGTCTCTGCTTTAGATTTTCCAGATACTCACCCCACCTGCCTGCCGCTTTTTCTAATTCTCTGAGAGACTCATATTCAATCACTAAATATTTAGCTAACTGCTATTAGACACCAGATACTGCGCATGCTGCTGTATGGGAAATTCCTTAGTAACAGAAATCCCACATCCAATTAAATCTGTTTGTTCTTACCGGCTGTTGATGTTGGAGTCAAACCCTTCACGGAACTCTTCCTCACTCACTTCACAGCCCAGGATGTGGACTTGCTCCCCACTGAGGCAGAATAAGGGGGATTGTCAAAAAGTGGAGCCCAGGCTCCCTTCCCAGCGACGAGGGGGAGATACTGTGGAACTCACCACAGTGCAGATTTCTTGATAAGTGCCTTCAGCAAACGGCGCCCCTCCCACTCCACCGAGTCTGGGGAGAGATGGAGAAACTTTGTCAGAACACTGGGGTCTCCACCTTCCCGAACCCGTTGCGACCTCTAGCCCTGAATTGTGACGCTTCTCCACTTGCACCACTTCAGCCGGGTTCCTAACGTCCTGTACCCAAGGTCTTTACCCCGAAGCAGCACCAGACCACCAAAACCCAAAAGCGATTCCAACATCTTCAGCGGGCGTCGCGCTCCCTCCTCCGACGCCCTCTGATGGCGTCATGAGCCGCTGCACTGCCCCCTCCAAGAGAAAGGGGCGGGGCACGCATGTTTCCTCCCGCTAAAACCTGGCACAGGCCGAAGTGCGGTGATCATACTCAGTGATGCCAGGGGGCTCATGCGGAGGGGTTCTTCCTGAGCCTGGTCGCTGATGTAGGGACGACGCCCACTCTAAATTTTTACCATGAGTAGGAAGGAGGAAGGGAAGGGCCGTTGGGGCAGTTGTCAACGTGAGGGGGGGAGGGTCGCAGACTGTCGGAACCTCTCCGGCAAGAGCCTCCACTCGGCCCCGCCCACGCCCCTGGAGGCGAGGCCGGCTTCATCTCAGGCCCCGCCCACCGCCATCTTCCGCGCGTGCGCAATATTGCGGCCTTGTTGGGAACGCACTCCATTTTCCTGTCCCCACCCCCATAGACCGAGCTAGGGGAACTGAAGTCCCGGTGAAGCGAATACACGTCACCACCGGAAGTAGTGTCAGAGGGGAAGAGGAGGGGGGAAGAGAGGAGGGAGCCCTTTGGGCGGTAAAATGGCGCCTGTCAGAGTGGGAAATCCAGCTGCAGAGGCTGTAGCCCCGCTTCCCAGCGGCTAAGGCACCACCGACCTCGGGGAGGGGGAGGCCGCTCCGGTCCAGCCGTCCTCGTCCTTCGGCTCCCCCTCCCCCTCTTTTCTTGCTCCTTCGCTCAGCTGTCCAGTTCTCTGCGGACGCAGCCCTTTGAGCGCCGCTGCCCCCGCCCGCCCCTTTCCCGCGGGCAGCCCCCTAGTGCGCCTGCGCAGCGGGCCACCCTTCGCTCCCCCTTCCCCTCCCCCTTCCTTCTCCCTCCCTCCTTTCTCCCTAGCCCCTCCCCCACTACCCCCTCCCCCAATTCTCCATCCCCTTCCCTCCCGGTCTCGAAGGACCCCGTCCTAGCCCGACCTGTCTCATCCCGCAACCCCCGCGAAGCGGTCTGTACCATTCCCCGCCCATGTGGGCCCCCGCGGGCTGCCCACGCCTGTCCCCCAGCTCCCGGTTCCGCTGGGCTTTCCCCTCGTCGGGGGTGGCTTTCTGAGCCTTCCGCTCCTTGCTCCTCTCTATCGCTTTTCCTGCCACTCGGGGCCCCCGTACCCCCTCCCGGCGGCGGGGGGCTGCCCCGGGGGGCTGGCGGAGCTGGGCCGCGGGGGCCCCGGGGCCGGCGGTGCCGGGGTCATCGGGATGATGCGGACGCAGTGTCTGCTGGGGCTGCGCACGTTCGTGGCCTTCGCTGCCAAGCTGTGGAGCTTCTTCATTTACCTTTTGCGGAGGCAGATCCGCACGGTGAGCCTGGATGGGTGGTCGTGGTGGTGGGGACTTCAGTCAGCGGTGCTCAAGGGTTTTCGGAAAGTGTCGGGCCTGTGGCTGGGCCTAAGAACGGTGTCCTGGCAGTGCCTTCTCCGCTAGAGAATTAAGGCATCTTTAATTGGGCTTGAGGTGGGATGGGGAGGAGGGAAACTATCACAGAACTGAGATTTGGGGGGACTTAGACGGGAAACGGATTTGGCAGTTCTTGGGGGCTAGGGTGTGGGTGGAGCGCACTTTTAGAAAGCTGGAGTTGTTGCTGAAGAAAACGAGAAGCGGGGAACACCTGTTTGATGGCAGCCTGTGTGTTGATGTGGATTTGTGGAAGGCCTCCTATTTTTAGGAATCTCCGTGTGTGTTTGATCTTATAACAAGGGAAAGGCTTATGTGTCAAAGGTGATGGTGGGAGGGCAGGCAAAGATGGAGACTTGGGAAAAACTCTGAATGTGAGCCCCCCACCTCCTCCACGGTCAGGAATACTTATTTCATAGTGTGCATGTGGTATCTGGATTTAATGAGATCTTGGGACTAAAAAAAGAGACTGCTTTAGTTGTGGAAAGGAACCATTAAAGTTTGAGGGTGTCCCTATCAGGAGACTTAACTTGTCATTTGTAGGGCTTGAATCTGAGGACTTGCATGTTTCTCCAAGAGGCCTTAATATTGTGAGAGGTACTCTGAGGAGTGGAGACTGTGGACAAACCCAAGTATCTCTGGGCTCCCTCCCCCATAGTTCTTCAAGGTCAAAGCTTCATAGACTAACAATTAATGAATGTGCTGTTGTGCTCTCATCACCACCCGGGAGAAATCACTAAAGGAGTCTGGGGAGAATACAGTGAACTGGGGTGAGTGTCTCTGATCTGTACTCTTTATTATATTTCTGTAAAACTTGAAGGGGCTGCCTAGGTCAAAGAATTTCCAGAAAGTCCTGGTGGTTGTGGTGCTTGACTTACTGATTTGGGGCAATGGTCATTTCTTTGGAGTCAGTCTCTTAGCGGTCTGCTTCTACTTCCTGATTTAGGATGAAGATTGTTCTGGGTGGTCATAGTTGTAGGTAGGACTGTTACCCTAAGACAAAAGTTAGGAACCAAAAAGAATTTGGGGTCAGAGATGCTGAGATGTATGTGGGGTTAGCTCCTGGGGTTTTCTTTATGTGCTAGTTGACATTCTCTCTGCCTGACCCTGTTCCAAACATCCCCCGGTCTCCCCTAATACATCAGTTTTTTGCTCTGGGTGCAAGGATTAGTGCTATAACACAATCAATGCTTAGTTACTTGCAAAACTGCTCTCCTTCAGGCTGCGCTGACCCCACAGCCTTTTGTCTTTCCTTCCAATCTGGTTTCTCCCCTCCACCCCCTTTCTGGCAGATGCTTGGAGCATTCCCTACATGCCCAGCATGTGCAACCCGAGATAGCAGGTCAGGACACCCGAGCTGTTGCAGCCCTCATCATGGCCCAGGGAGAAAAGAAGGGCAGATGCTTTGGGATTAGGGGAAGAAGGCACTTTGGTTTGATAGGTGGGGGCTCAGGCCTAGGGATGGGCTGAAAGCATTTGTGCTTAGAAGAGAGCAGAGGAGAGATTGACCAGGCTTTGCATAGAGGAGACCCAAGGGTAGAAATTGGAGCTTCTAAAGAAAGCTTGGAGAAGCTGGAAGGCTGAGGTGGTGAGGTCCTTGTTTCTTCCTCATCTTTCACTCACAACCCTTCACTCTGGTCTTCTGCATATCCTGTCAGCCTGGCAGGTGGGGCTTCCCAGTTTCTCTGCCTTGTGCTGGGTACCAAGATAAGGAGGCTGTTCAGTGGACTGAGGTCCTCTGCAACTTGTGACTTGGCTAGTAGAGATAGAAATGGACAGGTGGCTGGTTAAAATAGGCCTAGTGGCCCCTGGCCAGAGGAACTTAGCTGACCTGACAACCCCTGGATTCCCTCATCCTCCATTTCTTTAAGGACCCAAGGAACTTCTCTCCTGACTTTTAACTCTCCCAAGGAATTCCATTCTCAGGAATCTGAGGCTCTTAGTTCCCAACTGGAGGTGATGGGAATGATCACAAAGAGTCCTTGGGGTGGAGGTGGGGAGGGTCTTGTGTTTCTTTGTTTAGCAAAGCAGTATAATATCATGGGAAAGAGGGCAAGTTCTTGGGTTGGATTGCTTGAGTACAATCTCCACCTCTTCATTGATTCTATTAGCTGATCACCCTGCTAAAATGTTCTGGGAACACAGCCATGATTGAAACAAACCATATTCTCATAGAGTTTGCATTCTAACTTGGGGGGGGGGGGCAAACAATTAAATTCCTAGCTGTGTATTTATTCTCTCCAACCCTGGATTTCTTCATCTTTAAAGCAGAGATGATGTTGTTTCTTCATCACTGAAACAGATGTTACATTATTGTTAGGGTGGTTTTGAGAATTAAGTAATTTACATAGTGCCCAGCATATGGTAAATGTTTGACACGTACCACCTATTATTGTCGCTGGGGAAGAGGAAGATTTCCTTGTGAAGGTTTTTTTTTTTTTTTTTTTTAAAGATTGATTTATTTATACGTACAAGAACCAGGGTTGAGAGGATTCACCAGAGAGAGTGAGGAACAGAACAGGCAGATTGACTGAAGTACACTGCTGAGGGGACCAGTGGGTGAGACTGAAGAGGTCTGCTGAGCCATGGGGGTAGCTCCCTGGCCGGGGATTGAACTTGTGCTGCAGCGGCTGCGGCTGTGGCAAGCTTCATAGGTTGCGTCTTAACCCCTTGTGCCACCAGGTAGGCCCCATCCTTGTCCAGGGTTTTAATCCTGTATGCTTTCCTGCCATTTTTAGGTAATTCAGTACCAAACTGTTCGATATGATATTCTTCCCTTGTCTCCTGTGTCCCGGAATCGGCTGGGTGAGTGTGCTGACTGGGAAGACTCCTTTAATGTGAAGTAGGGTTCAAGGGCTGGGTTGAGGTTGGTTGGTATTATCCCTCCCATTGTGGTTCAGGCCAGGTGAAGAAGAAGATCCTGGTGCTGGATCTGGATGAAACACTTATTCACTCCCATCATGATGGGGTCCTGAGGCCCACAGTTCGGCCTGGAACGCCTCCGGACTTCATTCTCAAGGTGTGTGGGGATAAGAAGAGATGAAATAGTTCCAGCTGTTATTCTGCTTATACCTGGATCCCCGTTCCCAATCCCAGCATGTCTTGTCCCCTTCCATGTCCCCTCCACTAGCATCAGGCAGTGGGAGGGTGGGGTGTCCTTTAGGTTTGTGTTGTGGACAGCCCTTCCCTGTTCTTCTATAGGTGGTAATAGACAAACATCCTGTCCGGTTTTTTGTACATAAGAGGCCTCATGTGGATTTCTTCTTAGAAGTGGTGAGTTTGTGGAAGCTAAAAGGAGCTCTGATAAAGAAGTAGCTTTACAGCTTTTAAATGTAGAGGTTTTGGAGGAGGTAAATAGTAAGGAGAAATGGGTACGGGCAGTATTGGAGGGGGGGATGTTGTAGCATGGTTAGAGAATGGCTTTCAGTAGTTTGGGTTCATTGTTGTGTTGGTATAATTTTTGCCCTTTTGTTCTTACATCTCTGACCCTTAGGGTTGTATGGTGTCTGAGACTCATTCAGAATTTTGTGTCCCCAGAGATACTCCATGTTGCTAAAAGGCCTGAAGGATGAGACTGAATTCCTAGTGAATGAGAACTGTATGTCTAAATGCTTGAGCACCTTGTCTGACAACTCTCTCTTCCCTGATCTATTTCAGGTGAGCCAGTGGTATGAACTAGTGGTGTTCACAGCAAGCATGGAGATTTATGGCTCTGCTGTGGCAGATAAACTGGACAATAGCAGAAGCATTCTCAAGAGGAGATACTACAGACAGGTAAGGGGCGAGAATCCAGGTCTAAGAGTGAGGCTCAGGAGTCAGGCCATCAGGGAGGGATCTGCATTTCAGGCAACTGTCCTGAAATGATAGCTTCTGGGCGTGTGGGGAGGTGTTCTGCACAGTCCCCTTGGTGTGAGTTGGCTTTCCATGGGTGTTGTTGGGATTGGGAAAGCAATCACAGAGGGTGAGTCTCCTTTTGATGCTGAGCTCACCCTGCCTTCCAGCACTGCACTTTGGAATTGGGCAGCTACATCAAGGACCTCTCTGTGGTCCACAGTGACCTCTCTAGCATTGTGATCCTGGATAACTCCCCAGGGGCCTATAGGAGCCATCCAGGTATGGGGGAAGGTGGTGAGACTGGCATGACCAGAAAGTGGTTCTGAGGATGTCTTTTAAATGCATGGAACTGGGATTCCCTGGGTTATTATAGGTTCAGATGCAAGTTATTTCTCTTAAATGAGATGTCCCCACCCATCCCCCCTTGTCTGTTTCATTTATCAGGTATTTCATGTCAGGCTTGTTTTAGGTCAGACACAAAGACAGTATTTTCAGTTAGAAACCTCATTCTAGTATAATGTGTGATGATTAAAATTAAATTTTATTTTGGAGGATAAATCAGGAAGGTCTTACTTAGGTCATTGAGTTGGGGGGCAGTGGGGGGGGGATATATATTTTGAAGTAATGATCCCCACCCTCAAATAAAAGAAAAAAACTCTGTCTCTCTTGAATCTTTTGTTTTTCTCATGTGCATTTTTACCCACCCTAGACAATGCCATCCCCATCAAATCCTGGTTCAGTGACCCCAGTGATACCGCCCTTCTTAACCTGCTTCCGATGCTGGATGCCCTCAGGTAAGGGAAGCAAGACACTTAGATTTCTGAGGAAAGGAGGTGGTGGGAGATCCCAGGAGGGAATAAAAGTTTGTCCTGTTTTACTTAACTAATTTCTCTTCCTTTAAGAACATAGCATTTGAACTCAAGTCTTACATTAAGTTCATCACTTTTAGCCATTGGGATTGGGCAAATAACCTCTGTCTCACCACGTGAAAATGGCAGTCATTTCTGCCCCACATCTCCATTGAGACTGCCTTACACTAGCGTTGTGAGGATATCAACTATAAGGACTCTACCAATGCAATTATTGTCATCCCAGGTTCACCGCTGATGTTCGTTCTGTGCTGAGCCGAAATCTTCACCAACATAGGCTCTGGTGACAGCTGCTCCCCCTCCACCTGAGTTGGGGTGGGGGGGAAAGGAGGGGTGAGCCCTCAGGATGCCGTCTGATGCCCTGTCTGATGGTGAGGACTGCCTGGGCAGGGTCTGCCCCTCCCACCCCTCTCTGCCCTGGGAGCCCTGCACTCCACTTGGAGTCTGGATGGACACATGGGTCAGATGCTGAAGCAGCCTCACTCTAACTTCGTGTTCGCACTCCCTGGAAACCCCAGACTGGGACATAAGCGGAGGCTTAGGAGAGCTGAAACAGTGTCTGTGGTGGAGACAGGACTGGCCAGAGTGAAAAACAGACATTCGGTAATCCAGGAGACTCAAAGTGAAGCCAAGCCAGCTTTGTTGTGATTTGATTTTTTAAAAACTCTTGTAAAAAACTGATCTAATTCTTCACTCCAAGGGCTGGGCTGTGGGTGGGAAAATGGGGTTTTGGGCCACTGGATTTCCCTAAACTTTACTTTTCCCACTTTCCCCTTCTTCCTAGATTCCCTCAGACCTGTAACCAGCTTTCTCTTATTTTCTTTCCTCTTTTAACCATGCATTATAACTTTGAAACCAAAGCTGCCCTAGGTCCTTCTCTGGGTGTCTGGGAAATGAAGGGAGGGGGTCTTTGTTCACGTCCCCTAGCCTGAGAGTAGGCAGACTGCTGTTGGACAAGAGAGGTAGGGGGAGTGGTGGTATTGACTTTGTGGGGATGGGGCAGTGAATATCGACATCAAATGCTTTGGTGAGAAGGGTCTTGTGATAGGATGGGCTCCCTGATGGGTTACAAAAGGACAGCTGTGTGTCCTGAGGGAAATTGAGTGGCAGAGCTGCAGGACACACAAGTCTGGACGGCAAGGAAACCCGGATGCCAGAAGACATACTGCAGGAGAAAAGCTGGGCTTCACAAGGATTAGCTAAGTGGGTACTGCTCTCAGGCGGCCGGTGTCCCAGGTCTTCCACTGGCCTTTACTCTCCTGGGCAAGACTGGACACCCGCCCTACGGGCTCCACCTCCCGCCCTACGGGCTCCACCTCCCGCCCTACGGGCTCCACCTCCCGCCCTACGGGCTCCACCTCCCGCCCTACGGGCTCCACCTCCCGCCCTACGGGCTCCACCTCCCGCCCTACGGGCTCCACCTCCCGCCCTACGGGCTCCACCTCCCGCCCTACGGGCTCCACCTCCCGCCCTACGGGCTCCACCTCCCGCCCTACGGGCTCCACCTCCCGCCCTACGGGCTCCACCTCCCGCCCTACGGGCTCCACCTCCATAGCACCCTCCTCCCCGAGCCGGCTCTACTTCCTCGCACCGCCACGTGACGCTCCGCCCTTTTCTGAGATCACATGATTTAGCTTTGCAAATGCTGAAAGTGTTCTTCCGCGCTGACGTAGTCCCTACCTTTCGGACCTCCTTTCCTGTCCCTGTTGGGCTACTCATTCCTTGAACTTAAGTGTTCTGTGCATCTCCGAATGTATATTTTGTTGCTGTCCTCCTTTATTTCTGGGGACCATCTCCACCTAGGTACTATTTTGTTTTGGTGTCAACGGCCGCTTCCAGCGTACCAACACGTTCGTGAATAGCTAGCCTTGTAATTATCTCGTCTGTTTTTCCTCTACGTTATTTCCAAAAAGAACTTTTGGAGAACCCAGTTTCAAATTATGATTGTCATCTCCTAGTCCCCTACCCCTTTTCATCCCTAGCTCCATGTGGGGGAAGGTTGGGAAATAGGTTATCAGTTATTTTCAACGATAGCAAAAACCAATCACCTTGGTTACGTCAACTGCGTAGCCCACAAGTTGAATCCAAAGCAATTACGCTGATGGCGTGGGTGGGGGGGCCTTTAGTAGGTGGTGCCACGCTAGTGGCGTTAGGGTCACTGCGCTAGAGGCGTAACATAGCTGGTGGGGCGGCCCTTGTTGTGCTGCATCGGGGCTGTGAATAGGGAAGTGGCGCAAGTCCTGGGATCGCTCCGCTGAATTCGCCCGCGCGTCGCTGCCGTCGCCGCCGCCCCCTGTCCCGGCCCCCCCGGGTTCCCTCAGCCCAGCCCGGTCCAGCCCGGTTCCCGGGAGAATGAAGTTCGTGTATAAAGAGGAGCATCCGTTCGAGAAGCGCCGCTCTGAGGGCGAGAAGATCCGAAAGAAATACCCGGACCGGGTCCCGGTGAGGACAGCAGCTAGGGCCGAGGGCGCTGGCACTTGACGCCACAGCCTGATTTGGGTGCGGGACGGGCAGGCTGCCGATTATGGCGGGGTTGAGAATGAGTCTGAATTTGCTGTCTCTGGGAAAAAGGTGAAAGGAGTGGGGTTACAGTAGAGGGAAGGGTGAGGGGATGTGGATGAGAGAAATAGACATTGGCTTTCTTGTGGGAGGCTGTAGGGAGTTTGACAGTCTGGTCTTCACATGGTTAATCCTCCAGCTAGGTAGGTTTTCGAGATTAAAGCTCTGATCTGCCCAGGGAAGTCATCGCCCTCTAATTAAGATAGTTGTTTATTATGACGTCCTTTGTAGGAATACTGTGTGTTTAGGAGAGTTTGAGTCAGTGGGGTCAGGAATTCTGGACTCAGGGATACACCGCGTGTGCAGAGACAAAGAGAAATGAGTCTGGGGTAGGTTTGGGTGCTAGTGAGACTGCTATTTTGAATTTTTGACAGGTAGAGCTTTCGCACTGTATACTTAATGTCTCTTAATTTTCATTTTCCCTTCATCAGGTGATAGTAGAAAAGGCCCCCAAAGCTCGTATAGGAGACCTGGACAAAAAGAAATACCTGGTGCCTTCTGATCTCACAGGTAGGAATCTGACCTAAGACCCAGGATTGCTTCCAGTGGGTGGGAGTGCAATCTGTGGGAAGAGGTTTCGATAGCAGCTGTTCTTTTTAAGGCATTTATGACCTCTGTGACTTTATTGCATCTTGCATCTTTGGCAGTTGGTCAGTTCTACTTCTTGATCCGGAAGCGAATTCATCTACGAGCTGAGGATGCCTTGTTTTTCTTTGTCAACAATGTCATTCCACCCACCAGTGCCACGATGGGTCAATTATACCAGGTATGGTGACTCGGAAGTGGTGGAGGCTTTGGAGATGAGTTGGAAGAGAATGAGGGGAAGAAAGTTTTAAATAAGCAGTTCTTTGAGTAAACTGAGTTGCTTAGCTCTCAATTTTATCTTTGGTCTTGAAATTTTAGGGTAGTCCTGAGTTGGAGTTTAGATGGAGCTGTGGAAGTAGAGAGAAGGGGACAACAGTAAGCTGGAGCAGTAAAGCTGGAAAGGCTGTTTCAGTCACGACCCTTCCTTCCTTCCCTATTTGAAGGAAGCAGAGAACAGTTTGAGATCTTTTTGCTCAGGACTACTGCTAGGAATAATATTGCTTGGTTGCTAAGGTTTGGATCAAGTGAGGGAGAGAATCGAGGCACTAGTTTTGGGGTCTTCAAAAAGATTGTTTTTTGAAGAATGTGTCTGGACAGTGGGTGTTTCATGTATCTAAAGCCAGGTGCATCTAGCATCATTTTCTGCTTTCACCCCAGGAACACCATGAAGAAGACTTCTTTCTATACATTGCCTACAGTGATGAAAGTGTCTACGGTCTGTGAAGCTGCTACCCCTGAGGTGGGGGTCTCATTCTACAGAGAGAGAGGTGGCCCCCTTTCCTTGACGTACTCCTCTTCAGGCTCAAACACCACCTCCCTTCTTCAGGACCTGCACTTCCTAATGTTTGAGACTCTCTCTTCAGGCCCTCTCCACAGGAGGGTTAATGAGGGAGATGGCATATAGTACCTCTCCTTTCTCCTTTCTTTCCCTTTCTCTACCACTTTTGCTTTAGACTTCTTGATTGTCAGTCTCTGTCACATCCAGTGATTGTTTTGGTTTCTGTTCCCTTTCTAACTGCCCAAGGGGCTCAGAACCCCAACAAGCCTTTCCTTTCACTACCTTCTCTTTTGGGGGTAGATGGAAGGGACTGAAATTGTGGGGGGGGAAATGGTAGAAGGCACATCAATAAAGAGGAAACCACCAAGCTGAACTGGATTTTGCTTTGTGTTGCTTCCCTCACCATTTTTTGTGTTAAGTGGTGGGGAAAGAGGAGGTTGGAGGGATAGTATTTTGGTTAATTCTCTTCATTTTGGGCTGTATCCCCTGTGCATAAAAAGGGTACTTTTTTTGAGATGGACTATTTTCAGTATATCGTTTCATGACAACTCAGCTTTATATGTGTTTACTGAGTTATGTAAAAAATACTTTTTTTTTTTTTTAACTTTGGTTTCCTATGAGGAAAGTTTAAAAGTACCTGCTTTAGATAAACACGTCCAAGTTTGTTATTACCTCCTGGGTTATTATGGATGAGACTTTCTTGTTTAGGAGCTGGTAAAAGGATCCGTCCTCGGTGGCACGTAACTTGGTTAGGTTTTGTGCTGTGCTGTGGGATCTAGTGAAGTGGAATTCAAGGGAGGGACAAGACCGGGAGGAGAGAGCCATTATTACCAAGGGAACTTCATCTCCCAGCAACCACTTTTCCGTCTGGCCGGAAGTGAGGCGGTCCTTTGGGGGAGAAAGAAGCTGCCGAAGGAGGCAGTATGGTGGCCGAGAGTTCTAATCCCTTCTTTTCCTTCTTTCTTAGTCCCGCCCAGCCTACATTTCCCAGGGGCCTGCGCGCGCTCTTCCGCTCCATGATTTTACTCCCAATCTCCCCGCCACTCCCCGGGGGAGGGGAGTGGCTTAGTGCGCCTGCGCCAATCCGTGGCCTGCTGGGAAATGAAGTTCCAGGGCCTTATGCAGGCCCCTTTCCGCTGCCTCCCAACAGACTACAAGCCCCTTGATGCATTGCGCGCTAGCGCCCGCGAAGGGTGGGGGGAGAGAGGAGGAGGGAGGGAAGAGAGAAGAGGAGGAGGAGGGAGCAGGCGGCCGGCGACGCGGGGGGAGGGGGCCCGGTCCGGGAGTGCGGGAGGCTGTGGTAAAGGGAGGTGGCGGCAGCGGCTAGCGGACTCGAGTCCCCACCGGGTCGAGGCAGGCATCTCTGTGGAGCGAGGCAGTAGGTGCCCTGAGCACCGGAGGCGGCACCGGGATCCCCGACTCAGGGGAGGGGGGCGCCGGACCGGGAGGAGGGGAAGGGGCGATGCTGGAAGCCATGGCGGAGCCCAGTCCCGAAGGTGAGCTCTCGACCGGCGCGGAGCGCTGAGCCGGCGGGGGGCGGGCGAGGAATCAATTGGCAAACTTGGAGGTCGAGCCCCAGCGCTCAGCAGGGGAGCGCGGGGAGGGGGCCGGGGGCCTGCCCCTGGAGGTGGGAACGCCGCGAGTTGAGAGACCTTGGAGAAAGAGGAGTGGGAATCGGGGCTGGGGTAGTTGGAGATCAGACACTGTGTGTGTGGAGGGGGGAGGGCGAGGGAGTGGAAGCTGGGAACCCGGAGCTTCGGAGGTTAGGAGCCGAAAGGGCCTTCGGCAGGTTGGGGCCCTGGAACTGGGAGGTTGGGGGGATCTGGGGACCGGAGAGTTGTTGGAGAGAGGGCATGGAAGGACTGAGTGAAGAGTCCGGTAGTTCGCCGAGGTGGGGGAGTTTGTGGCGGTGGTGCCGGAGCTCCCGGTAGTTGTCGCTGGAGATAGCCTGGTGATTGTTGGAGGGGTGGGCAGATAGTTGTGAGGAAAAGAGGGGATCTGGGTATTGTCTGCAGTAGAGGGACTTGTACCGGGTAGTTGTGGGGACAGAGCCGGGAAGCGCGGAGAGCCGGGTAGTTGTAGGGGCGGGGTGGGGTGGGGGCTTAAGACCGGCGAGTTGCTGGGAGCGGGGGCGCCGGGTGGTGGGGGGGGGCCAGTCAGGTTGGTCGGCGAGGGTTAGAACCTGGGAGTTGCCGGGGGTGAGGGGGGTAGCGGCGGCAGCAGCGGGGTTTCTGTGAAAGGTGAGAGTAGCTGACTGGGGGGGGGTAGAGTTTAGGGGTCCGTAGCCTAGTGACTTGGTGGTGAGTAGAGGGGGGAGCGGCGGCCGGAGAGCTCGGAACTGGGCCGGGGGCCCGGCGGGGAGCCCGAGAAGCTCGAGACGGGGAGGGGCCAAAGCCCCGGATGGGGGCGGAGGGACGGCGAAATTGTGGGGAGCGCGGTGTGGGGGGGGGCAGGTGGGGCCGTGTCCGGGTTAGAGCTCTCTGGTCTGTTCCGGACGCGAAGTGGCGTTGGATGTGTGTGCCTGCTTGTGTTCAGGGTTGGGGTGAGGGGCGCGTCGGGCCTCGTGCTCGAGGAGAAGGGGCCGGAGGGCGGGGAGCGGTTCGGCGTGGTCATTCTGGACCCTGGGGGCCGGCCGGCGGCATGTGCGGACTCCGAGGGCCCGAGGCGGTAGAGCGCGTTCGGTAGGAACTCGGGGTGCTAGGCGCGTGGTAAGGAACGGCAGGCGGCAGCCTGAGCTCTGTCCTGGGAGCGGTATGGCGGGGTGGGGCGCTGAGAGATTCGAGTAGACTGGAGTCTAGAGAAACCGTGAGTTGGGGGGGGCGGGGCGCCAGGCCTCCAGTGGGGGGAAGGGGTGCGCTATAGCGAGACCTGAGAGGGCGCCGCGCCCAGACTCCGCCCCACGCGGGGCGGAAGGGGGTGCAGGGGCGGGTTCGGCACAGCTGGGGGCCTGCTGGTTTGGACCAGAGAAAAAGGTTTCACTTGGGACCTCCAAGGGTCAGAGGTGGGGTTTTTGCACTCACAGTTTCCCCGTGCCTTGACTCAGCTTTTATTGCTTTCACAGATCCACCTCCGACCCTTAAGCCAGAAACTCAGGTGAGGTTTTCCTTACCTTTTCAGCCTAGTGTTATTTGCAGGACCCCCTTTCATCCTCTCTCGCCCTCCTACCCTTTCCAGATTTTTAACTCCCGTGACTGTGCTTTTGGAAATATCATTCTTAAACTCCATGTAATGTCGGTTTCCTTCCTTTCAGCCACCAGAGAAAAGACGGAGAACGATTGAGGATTTCAACAAATTCTGCAGTTTTGTCTTGGCATATGCTGGTTATATCCCCCCCAGCAAAGAGGTAGGGACATGAGGGCAGCTGATTTGAGGGCAGTGTCCCAGGACTATAGAGGGGCTGTTGAGTTATATCAATCTGTATTTGTGGGAAAAGCCCACCAGATGGAAACCTATATGAAGAGGGGAATTGGAAACCTGTGGGCTCTGATGGGAAAATTAGTGTATGGGGTAGGGGTTGGGGATAATAGAGATAAATGGCTTGAGCAGCCATGAATGGTCTTCATTGGGGTGTTGTTATGGGGAGGTGCTTTTGGATAAATTTTAGGAAGCTAAAAATGGTAACAAATGAGTTGCGCAGAAATAGCTCAAGAAAAATGACTGATCTGGGAGATACAGTGTTGCAAAGACTATGGGCAGGGGAGGTGGGGGAAGATAGCTAGAACTTAAAGGCAGAGGAAACCTCTCCAGAGGAAATGATGGGAATTGGAGTGGGGATCAATTTTCTGAGTGAGAATTGGTGGTTTTCGCAAGATATTTAGGAGTAGGTTTAGTCTCTGGTTTTCTAGCTGTGTTAGTAGAGAGGCTAAGGTGACAAAGGGCCCCTTGCTGACCCTGGTCTCTTCCCCTCTTTAAGGAAAGTGACTGGCCAGCCTCTGGCTCCAGCTCTCCATTGCGAGGTGAGAGTGCGGCAGACAGTGATGGCTGGGACTCAGCCCCCTCAGATCTCCGAACTATCCAGACCTTTGTTAAGAAAGCAAAGTCATCCAAGAGAAGGGCAGCTCAAGCAGGTCCCACCCAGCCAGGACCCCCAAGATCCACTTTCTCACGTCTGCAGGCCCCTGATAGTGCCACCCTACTTGAGAAGATGAAGCTCAAGGACTCTCTCTTTGATTTAGATGGGCCTAAAATGGCATCTCCACTTTCCCCCACTTCCCTGACACATGCCTCGCGGCCTCCTGCTGCTCTCACCCCAGTGCCCCTTTCTCAAGGGGACCTCTCCCAGCCACCTCGAAAGAAGGACCGAAAGAACCGAAAGTTGGGGCCAGGAGGGGGGGCTGGCTTTGGGGTGCTTCGGAGGCCTCGGCCAACCCCTGGGGATGGGGAAAAGAGGTCTCGAATCAAGAAGAGCAAGAAGCGGAAGTTGAAAAAGGCAGATCGGGGGGATAGACTCCCACCTCCTGGGCCTCCCCGGGCACCCCCCAGTGATACAGACTCTGAGGAGGAGGAGGAGGAAGAAGAGGAGGAAGAGGAGGAAGAGATGGTAGCAGTGGTAGGGGGTGAAGCCCCAGCCCCTGTGTTGCCGACTCCCCCTGAGGCTCCTAGGCCCCCTGCCACAGTGCACCCTGAAGGAGCCCCTCCCACTGACAGTGAAAGTAAGGAGGTGGGCAGCACTGAAACAAGCCAAGATGGAGATGCCAGCTCCAGTGAAGGCGAGATGCGGGTCATGGATGAGGACATCATGGTAGAATCAGGTGAGAAGTTTGGGCTCACCCAGGGGCTGCTGGGACAATGGATTTGAGGGTATGGGAGATCCAAGAGCTTAGGCAGAATACCGAACAGATCTTTTTTCTCCTAGGTGATGACTCATGGGATCTGATCACGTGTTACTGCCGAAAGCCCTTTGCAGGGCGGCCCATGATTGAGTGCAGCCTGTGTGGGACGTGGATCCACCTTTCCTGTGCTAAGATTAAGAAGACCAATGTCCCTGACTTCTTTTACTGCCAGAAATGCAAGGAACTGCGACCAGAAGCACGGCGGTTAGGGGGGCCTCCCAAATCTGGAGAACCCTGACAATGCCATCTCTAGGCTGGAACTTCAAATGACAATATGGTTTGGGAATTGAGCCTCAGGGTCCTCAGCCTATCCCCTGGAGCTTGGATATTGTCCCACTTCGAGGCAGGAAATCCCAAGGGAAACTTGTTTGGAAATGAGTGTCGTGTTCCTACCCTAACCTACCTTCCCAACTTGTGGACTTGAAGTTGGACCCATTACAATTGGGAGTGCGAGGCTGTCTGGGTCTGAAACAGTTAATCTCTGTCTCTTGATCTGCCACCTCTCATTTTCTGGGCCAGGGTTGGAATTGGGATGGAATGGGACAGTTGTCTATAAAACTCTAGTGTAAATATAGCACTCCCCTCCCTCATCTTTTTTCTCACTCCCCATTTATTCTACACCGGTTGTATTTTTAATTTTGGACTTCCCCTTTTGGGCATGGTAGCCCAGAGGTGGAGTACCAACCAGAGCCTGGCCGAGAGAGGAAGGAAAATAGAAAGGTGATGATTCTCTCACCTCTTGTTTTTAATAACATTGGCCAGCTGTTTGTACAGACAGCCTGCGTGTTGTAAATAAATCAGAGTGGGCTTTTTTGTGTTTATAACCCTCACTGACTGTCCTGCTTGGGAAAAGCTGGCAGAAGACTGGGGTGCGATCGGACTGAAACCCACTTCTCAAAGTCGGAGCTGGAAGTAACCAGCTTTGCTCTGCTCGCGCCAACCCCGTGGCCCTAAGCGGCTTTGCCACCCACCTTGCACCCAGTCCAGAACCTCCTCCACCCCGGTCCCTCCACGCACGCTCCAACGGATCGGAGTTGCCTGGTGCTCCGAGATGGGGTGGGGGGGGTAAGTGAATAGGTTGCCCCTTGGGAGATGAGGCCAGCATAGCCCGGGTACTCGGGAGGACGCGGGTGGGGACACATTTGGGGGCGGGCCCGTTGAGGGTAGGGAGACGGTTGCTGAAAGCACAGGTCACGTGGTGGGTGTTGGGCGGAGTTGGGGTGTCACGTGATCGAGGGACGGCCACGTGATTTAGGGGCGTTACGAGAAGAGCCAGAGGGGCTGGCTTAGGTCACGTGGTATGGGGAGAGGTGGGCGGGGCGCTGAGGGCGCTAGCGACGTCGGCGGCGGTGGCGCGCGGCGGGCCGAGTCCGCGGCTTCGGGTCCTTTGCACGGCCCGCCCCCCCGCCGCCGCCACCCCGCTGACCCCTGCATTCTTTCCCGTCGCACTTTTCTTGGCATTGGGTCGGTCCTGTCGGCCCTAGCGCGTTGGTTTGCGGGTGTGCGCAGGCGCGTGGGGGCGATTAGCCCGGCTGGGTGGGCGGCGGGGCCCGGGAGCGCGCGGGCGAAACCATGGCGGGCAGCGGCGCGGGGGGCGGTGGTGTCGGGGAGACGAAGGTGATTTATCACCTGGATGAAGAAGAGACTCCTTACCTGGTGAAAATCCCCGTGCCGGCCGAGCGCATCACCCTTGGTGATTTCAAGAGTGTCCTGCAGCGGCCCGCGGGCGCTAAGTACTTTTTCAAGTCTATGGATCAGGATTTCGGGTGAGCGCGAGGCCTAAACCGGGAACGATGGGGGCTTTACTGCAGTAGATTGGCCAATATTGTGGAGCACAGGCCTTCTTTGGGCCATACTGGGATTTTTTGGCCTTTAGTGGAGCAGATTCTACTGTTGATTGGATATCCCGGGACGAACAAGCTTATGCTTGGACAGATTGAGGCTGACGGAGCGGTAGGGGACAGACTTGACTCGCCTAAACCAGATTAGAGAGGATTAGGCTATGTGGGAACAGAGCGGTGCACACTGACTTATTTCGGTATATTCTGGACGGTGCTAAGGTAGATTGAGCTGTTCTCTGGTAGTTTAGTGCATTCTTAGCAATCCTGGAGCACACAGACAAAGTAGGACTATTCTGTAATTTCTTGATGTGGATTGGGTTATATTGGGCAACTTGGAACATTCTGGCATGTACTGAGACTGTCAGGATTGTTTAGGGATATTATAGTTTGCCCCAATGCAGAATGCTCTACTGGGATGTTCTAGGGTGCCCTGGAGTAGATTAGGGTGTCCTAGAGAAACTTGGGTCTACTGGATTGTATTGGTTGTTTGGGGTGTGTGTGTATGTGTTTTTTAAAGTTGGATTTCTACTTTTTTTTTTTTTTTAGTTTTTTTTTTATGCTTACAGAGATGGGGGTGGGGGGAGGGTGAGAAGATCCACCAGAGACAGAGTGGGAAACATTAAAGGTAGACCGACTGAAATACACTGCTGAGGGGAGAAGCTGGCGAGACAGGAGAGGTCTGCCTCGCCGTGAGGGTTTCTCCCTGGCGGGCCGGGGATCGAACTTATGCTGCAGAGGCTGTGGATTGCTTCATAGTGCAGTACTTATCCCCTTGCGCCACCAGGGAGGCCCGGTTGTTTAGTTTTTTATTGGGACTTAGTTTTTATTGGGACACTTGATGCAGGAGCAAACAGGGTTGTTAGGATCTTTGCTAGTATAGGCAGTTGTATTGGGATATTCTAATCTATATTAGTCAGACAGCTGCATGTTAGGATATTCTAGGCTGTGCTAGAATAGATTGGGCTCTGCTGGGGTAATTTGGGACATTCCGGACTAGACTGGGTCTGTAAATAATGAAGAGTATTATTGTTGATAGCCTTTGGGAATGAGTCCTCTGGGTCCTCAACCTCAACTCTTGAATACAAACTGGATTAGACTGAGCTCTAGAAGAGCTGAAAGTCTGGGCTTTACCTAGAAAGATTGTTGCACACAGGAAAAGTGGTAGTTTTCTGATTTACCTTAGTTCCTTGGATTTAATTTATTCTATTTGTCAAGCTTTGTAATCTTGGGCCATTTATTTAACTTGTTCCTTGATTGCTTCTGTGAAATGGAGATAATAAGAGTGAAATTCTTGGTACAGTTGCATGGCACACAGTAAATTCTTGGTGAATATAATTGTCATATTGAGGTTGACTAATCCATAAACCAGGTCATATTGGTACAAAATAGAGTAAATTGGCAGACTCGGATATGCTGAGATTGGATTATATTGGGAAGATTTGTAGGGTGTGGGCTGTGTTGCCACATTGATAGCAAGTGAGATTAAGTTGGCATATATCCAGGCTCCCAGAATCATATTAGGGTAAAGGGTTATTCAGACAGGATGTTCTAATTTGGGAGAACGGGGTGTGTGTTTGTGTGTCGTGTGTGTGTGACAGAGAGAAAGACAGACAGACACTGACATATATTTATCCCGTGAGTCAATAAATACTTGTTAACACCTATCAAATGCCAGCGTCTCTGCTGTGCTACCTGGACATGGTATTGAAGAGAATAGTTAGTAATAATTTAATGTAGTAGTTGAAAAAAGGCAAGCCCAGGCACAGTGAGGAACCCATGGGAGAGATGAGAATCAGAGCTGGACTTTAGGGTCTGTTAGGTAGAGTAGACTGCTTAGGTGCAGTTTTGTGTCACATGAAACACCGGAACAAATGGAAACGAGAAAGCGTTATTCTTTGGTCTAATGAGTATTTTCACATAGGCAAGACAGCATGTTTGGATAACTATCTGGAAGTGAGTTAGAGAAAACTAAGGAAAGCATAAGAGTAGAGACTTAGATGAGGACCAAGCCTTTTTGGAGAAGATGTGTGAGGAACAGGGTGGAGGTCGGGATGCCAACACAAAGGCTCCGAAGGTTATATATTTTGGGTACCTGAGGTAACCTTAGGGGATGACCTTTGAATTTCAGCCGAGAGGTTTGAATCTGATTCAAGAAGTCTTTGGAGTAACACTGAGCCTCAGGATGAGCTGGGGAGAGAAGGAGAAAAAGGAAAAGGCATTGAATTTGGAGGGTATCTTAGGTATAAAAGGAGATGACTTGGATAGAGTGGGAGAAAGTCAACATTTTTCAGCTGGAAGAAGTTTGGGAATAGGAGATGCTAGTTCAGTCTCATTGACCTTTGTCCTGTTTCTTGGCAGTGTGGTGAAGGAAGAAATTTCAGATGACAGTGCTCACCTTCCCTGCTTCAACGGAAGGGTGGTGTCCTGGGTAAGGGGCCCTGGTCTGAGGGCCCAGTCCCCTCTATATTGCCAAGCTCTTCCCAGTATCGCTTTATTTTGTAGCTCTCTCTCTGCTTGGTTATTAGAGGCCTTGGCTCTTTGCCTCCCTACCTGTTTGGAGGGCCAGCTAGAGCCCCACCAGCTTCTTCTGGAGCTTCTGTTACTGCTGCTTTTTTTGTCTTTTTGTCTCAGACCCTGTCCCCTTTTTCAGTCCTTTCACTTACTCTCCCATCCCATACGTGTCATTTCCCAATTGAGCCCTTTTTTTCTCTCTAAATAACTTGTACCCCTTTAGCTAGTGTCATCAGATAACCCCCAGCCTGAGATGGCTTCCACAGTCCATGAGCCTAGGACGGAACTGGTGCCTCCACCCCCACCACTACCACCTTTGCCACCAGAAAGGACCAGTGGCATTGGTGACTCCAGGCCTCCATCTTTCCAGTGAGTACTCAAGATTCGAGTCCAGGGGATGGAGGTGAAGAAGTCTGAATATCCTGGAAGGGGAAGCTAAGGATTTGGAGCCCTATCCCACTGACTTGCTTGGAAACCATCTCTGCCCATCTAGCCCAAATGTGTCCAGCAGCCGTGAAAATCTGGAGCCTGAGACAGAAACCGAGTCAGTGGTGTCCTTGCGGCGGGAGCGACCTCGCAGGAGAGACAGCAGTGAGCATGGTGGTGAGAGGGCCCATCCTGAGGCTGGGTAGTCTGGGAGCTGGGGAAAGGTTGGGCCAAGTTCATGCCTTGATGAGGGTCAGGAGCCTGAGGCCTGGTTCCTGAGGTTCCTGTTCATATCCAGTGGGGGGCCACCGACCTAGCGGCCCTTCGAGGCTGGAGCGCCACCTGGCTGGGTATGAGAGCTCCTCTACCCTTATGACTAGTGAGTTGGAGAGCACCAGCTTGGGGGACTCGGATGAGGACGACACCATGAGCAGGTATGGCTCCCCTGATCTGTCCTCTTCCAGCTAGTCCTCTTATCCTTTCTCTTGACCACATAACCACATGCCCTCCCTCTAAACCTCTCCTCAGGTTTAGTAGCTCCACTGAGCAGAGCAGTGCTTCCCGCCTCCTTAAGCGTCACCGAAGGCGGAGGAAACAGCGACCCCCCCGCTTGGAGAGGGTGAGACATTCTTCGGGGATAGCTGGGCCTTAAGAGAAGTTGAGGCTATGGGCCTTGGTTTGGGAGCTACAAGGGCATCTACAGTGAGAATCACAGAACTTGTCCCTGGGTTGTTGAAGGCAAGCCACCTCCCTTACCTTTTTCTTATTACAGACCTCCTCCTTTAGCAGTGTCACTGACTCTACAATGTCTCTCAACATCATCACAGTCACCCTAAATATGGGTAAGGAGGGAGCCTGGGGTTGTGGGGCTGGGGAGGACCTGGTTTCCAGGACTCAAGGGGGTCATGCAGCTGGGGCTCCCCTGGTCACATGGACTCCCTCCACAGAGAAGTACAACTTCCTGGGCATCTCCATTGTGGGCCAAAGCAACGAGCGGGGAGACGGTGGCATCTACATCGGCTCTATCATGAAGGGTGGGGCTGTGGCCGCTGACGGGCGCATCGAACCAGGGGACATGCTTCTGCAGGTGTGCTGGGGCAGGGCTACCAGTGTGGCCCAGGCAGGGGCTCCTGGCCTCTTCTGCCCTGCCTCTGACCTATTCCCCTCACTTGCAGGTAAATGACATGAACTTTGAGAACATGAGCAACGATGATGCAGTGAGGGTGCTGAGGGACATTGTTCACAAGCCAGGGTGAGCTTTGCTGCTGTCGGGTCCACTGTTCTCTTGGCTTTGTTTTTTCTCCTTTGTTTTGTAATTTTGAAAAGTGGTAAAGCTTAGCATTCACTTAAGAAGTACAGAAGACAAAAGCTCGGAATGTGATGAGTAGTCGAGTGATATGACTAGTGTTCGTGTCACTGTGGCCTAGATCATGAAATAGAAAATTGTTCCCAGAATTTCTCCTTCAAATGTCCCTTCCTGCTCCCATCCTCATTTTCCTTAGAGGCGATAATCACTCCTCTCATTTTGGTCAAATGAAGAATAAACATAATCTTCACTTCACTTGATAGTTGTACGACCCATTTGTGTATCATTAAATAGCGCGTTTAGTTTTACCTGTTTTCGGACTTTGTCTGAATGGAACTGTACAGTGTTCTCTCTAGTCAGTAATACGTTTTTGAAGAGTAGCCACATTGATACTTTATCCACATGGTGGAGCTATCCACCCTCACCGTCTCTGGCCCAGCCATGTCTGTGCTTTTTTTTCTCTTCTTTCTGTTCCTCAACCCATTCTCATTCCAGGCCACTGTCCTCCTGAGGCCTTCCCCAACCCCTGCTTAACTGGTCTTCTCTTCCTCACAGCCCCATCGTGTTGACTGTGGCCAAGTGTTGGGATCCCTCTCCTCAGGCATATTTTACCCTCCCCCGAAGTGAGTCATGGTCAGGAAGACCTTTGGCCATGGGGATTGGTTGGAGAAGGGGCCAAGGCAGAGGTGGGACAGGTGTTGGAGTTAAGGAGGGACAGGGCTGGCTTTCTGGGATTGGGAAGTGATTATTTTAGTGGCCTTCTCTGTCCCAGATGAACCCATCCAGCCGATTGACCCTGCTGCCTGGGTCTCACACTCTGCTGCACTGACCGGCACCTTCCCAGCCTATCCCGGTTCTTCGTCCATGAGCACCATTACATCTGGGTCCTCTCTGCCTGATGGTGAGCCCCAGACACACCTCATCCCAGCCTCCCTGGAAGGCCTTCCAATAATGGTGTGACCTGTTCTTGTGGTGTGACCTGTGCCCTACTTCTGATTACCCATTGTTTCATGTCAGGCTGTGAGGGCCGAGGTCTCTCCATCCACACGGACATGGCATCTGTGACCAAGGCCATGGCAGCTCCAGAGTCTGGACTGGAAGTTCGCGACCGCATGTGGCTCAAGATCACCATTCCTAATGCCTTTCTCGGTATGGCTGGGTACTGAGCAGAGGGCATGGGGTTGGGGGGAGGTAACCAAAGCCTGGAATGAACCAGGCAGGGATAAGGACTGGAGCCAGGGAGGAGAACCTGAGGCCATTTTCTGCTCTGGGTGATCCCAGGCTCTGATGTGGTTGACTGGCTCTACCATCACGTGGAGGGCTTTCCTGAGCGGCGAGAAGCCCGCAAGTATGCCAGCGGGCTGCTTAAGGCAGGCCTTATCCGACACACCGTGAACAAGATCACCTTCTCTGAGCAGTGCTACTACGTCTTTGGAGACCTCAGTGGCGGTTGTGAAAGCTGTGAGTCCCTTTGTCCTGGTCCTGGGAGAAGAACTAGGGCTGCCTCATCTTGCCTCTCCCAACTCTAGACCTACCTAGAAACCGGCCAGGGTTACCATGTCCTGCACTTGGCCCTGTGCTGACCAAGTGGGGGCCAAGTGGGCCTCCAGTTCACCACATTCTGCTGGATAAGTCATGTGCCAGGATGGGGTTGGGTCTGCTGGGGGGAGGTGATTTTTCCCGAGTTTCATAGACGTAATACAGGGCTTGTGGCCCCTCTGCTGTGCTCTTTCCCTGATGGTAATGGCAGGTGGGGAATTTCCTATCAGAAACCTTTGTGAGTCCGTTAACCTCCATCGTGGATGGGTCTAGAGAAACATTTTCCTGTTTTTTCTTTATTCAATGTGTTGGTGTCCTGGTCTCTCAAAGCAGTGAATCTCTATTCCAGACCTAGTCAACCTGTCTCTGAATGACAATGATGGTTCCAGTGGGGCTTCAGACCAGGACACCTTGGCCCCTCTGCCTGGGGCCACGCCCTGGCCCCTGCTGCCCACCTTCTCCTACCAGTACCCAGCCCCACATCCATACAGCCCACAGCCCCCACCATACCATGAGCTCTCATCCTACACGTATGGTGGAGGCAGTGCCAGCAGCCAGCACAGTGAGGGTAAGTCTAAGTCCTTGCCAGATACTGACTGTCAGGGTCAGTATCCTGAGGAGGGGCCTGAAGGGAAACTAGGGAGGAGAGGTTGGATGAGCCTGGGGAGGCCGAGGTCTCTTCGCCCAAGGCTCAGTTGTCCCCATTCCCTTCTCCCCCACAGGGAGCCGGAGCAGTGGGTCAACTCGAAGCGATGGGGGGGCAGGGCGCACAGGGAGGCCCGAGGAGCGGGCCCCTGAGTCCAAGTCTGGCAGCGGCAGTGAGTCGGAGCCTTCCAGCCGGGGGGGCAGTGTTCGTCGGGGTGGGGAACCTGGTGGGACTGGTGATGGGGGTCCTCCCCCATCCAGGGGCTCTTCAGGGGGTGCTCCCAATCTTCGAGCCCACCCAGGGCTCCATCCCTATGGACCACCTCCTGGTATGGCCCTCCCCTATAACCCCATGATGGTGGTCATGATGCCCCCACCCCCACCTCCAGTCCCCCCAGCAGTGCAGCCCCCAGGGGCCCCTCCTGTCAGAGACCTGGGCTCTGTGCCTCCAGAGCTGACAGCCAGCCGCCAAAGCTTCCACATGGCCATGGGCAACCCCAGTGAGTTCTTTGTGGATGTCATGTAGAGCCCACAATGGGGCTGAGTTGGATCTGCACTTGGTTGGTCCAGCAGTGCTTGGTGCTCCTGGTCTGTGACTGGGTGTTCTGTCCATCACAGGCTCATTATTCCTCTGGTGCCTGGGCTCAGCCTGTCCTATGGGCTGCTGCCTGCTGTGAGGCTGTTGCCACTGTGACTTAACCAGCAGTGCCTGGTTCCTTCCCCTTCCTTTGGGGGTGTACAAGGGACCTTTGGTTATTTTTAGCTTTACTGTTTTTTATAAGCCTTTTTGGGGTTAAAATAGGTTTTCGTACATTTTTCAGACTATATTTGTAGTAGACATTTTCTCTTTTATATGAAGAATTCTTGTCTCCAGGGCCCCTTCTAGACCCAAAATGTGACCTCCTACTCTGTTCACCCAGTCAGTACTGTCCTGCACAGAATGGGGCGGTGGTCAGTGGTACCCTGGGAGGAAGGGGTTCTGTTATACTAGACAGAAATGAAAGGAAGCTGGGGTGTTTGGTATTTGGGGGCTGTGTAGCTGCTTTTGTTATCCTATTTATTTTAGTCACATGTATAAAACACCAAAAATAAAGCAATAGGGGCAAACTTCCCATGCCTCTGACTCCTTTCTTTGGGAGGGAGGCAGGCAGCGAGGTGAAGGACTGAGACGTGGCAGCAAAGCATGACTTGTTAGGACCTTTATTTGTGAGGCAGTAAGTGCTCCTTGTGAGAGCAGGCACACTCCTGAGGTGAAGCCCTTCAAGGCAGAAGCAGGGTCTGTGGAAAAGGAACCTGGATTTTGGCTTGAGAGAAGGCACGTTCTGGACTAGGCCCTGGTTGGGGGTACTCAGAAGCCAAGGGGGTTGCTGGTGACCACGCCACCCTGCTCCACCAAGGCGTTAGAGATGCTTTTGAAGTTTCGGAAGAGCTCCTGCTGCTGGGGGTCAGAATGCACAGCAGCCATGTTCTCCCGGATCCGGGCTGCAGCCTGAGGACAGAGGGGTGGGAGTTTAGGCCTGTGCCTTGAACCTCTCATTTGCACATGGTAACCCAGAATCTCACCTCAATGCACCAGCTGTCACAGAGCATTTTCTCATGCTGGGCTGTGGGGTAGCCTTCACTCAGGGATCTTGAGGCCCTGGTGGAAAGCAGGAGATCAAATCTGGGCTGTGATACTAGCCCAGGACACCCTTCTGCCCACCCCCTGCGGCTCAGGCGTTCCACACTGCCTCCTCACCTGGAGAGAACCACCACCATGGCATAGAGGTCAATGGCACTGTCTGCCAGACGCTGCAGCAGAAACTGTTCATCTATCAGGTAGATGGGATGGGTAGGGAGGGGTCATTAGTTGGAGGAAGAAAAGGAGGGGGTGGGCATGGCGTAGAAGAGCTTACTCACTGACAATATTCTTTTTATGTTTTATCAGCTTGGCTTCCACCACAGTGGCAAACTGCTCCAGGGCTTTCACTGCCTAAAGAGATGGGGAAGGCACCCAGGTCTCAGAGTGGGACCTAGCCCCACCAACCCTAGACACAGGCTGTCTCTCATGACTACTTACCAGCTCACCGCTCCGACTCAAGTCCTTGTGGATGACTCCACTGAGACTCAGGCCACTGCCCAGCCCTGCCCGCCTGAGAGGAAAGGGAGAGTAACTGGTGAGTTGTCACACTCCACCTGCCCTGCCCTGGCCTGGCCCCTAAGCTTACCGCCTCAGCTGTTTGCCTGCTTCTCCTAGCAGAAGGCCTGCATTCCCAAAAGGATTCTTTAGAGCACTGCCAAGCCCAGAGAGTTCCTTTCCTTTGTCCTGTGGGGAAGGAGAATCTAACAGTCAGGACTGTCAGTTAGGATTTGGCGGTGTCCCATCCCGCCCCGCCCCCCATTCCCCTCCCTCTTACCATACAACCCTGCAGAGCCACAAACAGTCGCAGAATGTCATTTGTCCCCTCAAAGATCCGGAAGATTCGAAGATCTCGGAGCACACGCTCTACTCCTGGCTCCTACCACAGGGGAAGACAGATTATTGGTCCCTGCTGAGATGAGCCTCCCTACTCCCACAGAGAACCCTCCTATACCTTCATGAAGCCCATGCCCCCCATGATTTGGATGCATTCATCTGTCACTTTCCAGGCTGCTTCCTAAGAACAACAACAACAAAACACTCAAGATTGGTTTTTGAGCCAAGCTCCAGGACAGGACTTTCCCTCCCAGCAGGCCTGGGACCTCACCGAACCAAAGATTTTGCTGATGGCGGCCTCTATCTGAAAGTCCTTGGATCCCTGGTCCATGTTGGCACTCACCATGTAAGCCATGGACTGAGGTTGTGTGGTTAGGACAAGGAAATGAAAATGAAAAAGGGTTGCATCAGATTCCACCTTATCACCCAATTCTCCAAGACCAGGTCTGACCTAGCTCCCCACGGCTCTTGCATTCACCTTCTAACTCCATGTGTCCAGCATGTTGAATATTTGGTCCCTGAGTCAGTTCATGAGGGGCTTCCAGGTATTTGCTTTCTTGAAGGGGGTGAGGAGGGTGGGGGTAGAATAAAGTTTGGGTACCTCTGGAAGCACCCCAGCAGAACATTATGGCTTTGCCCCTTCTGCAGAAGCTGACTATGCCTCCCCGCATCCCCTAGGGCATTGGTGTAAAGCTGGAGACCCACTGCCCCAGGTGCTGCTGGGGGTTGTAGTCTAACCGACTGAGAAGACCATAAGCTCTGGAAAGAAAGGGGTGGGGAGATCCTCACCTCAGTCACATACTGTAACATAGCCATCCGAGCCAGCTTCTCCTGGATCAGCCCATAGTTGTGAATTTTCTCTCCAAACTGGGTACGATTTGCAGCATGATCCACCTGGAAAAGAACACTGTGTTTGCTAGCCTCCATAGGAGATGGACTGCATTGGGCTTGGTGGGCTGGATTTTGGCCACAGCCAAAACATCAGTCCAGGCTGGATGGAGCCCTGGACCTGTCAGGTCCGGAGCAAATGGCAAAGAATGGCAGTCTGCTAGGGGGAGTACCTGCAGGGGGACAGGGGTACCTGGAAAGGTGACTTAGATTCAGATTAGCTAGGAACTCAGGCGGGGTACTCACCGCCTTAGCAATGATGCCTTTCATGGTGCCTGCAAGGGCTGCTGCCATGCCAAACCTTCCATTGTTGAGAATGTGCATGGCGACCTTGAAGCCACCCCCAACCTCGCCCAGCACATTCTCTGCCGGCACCCGAACTCCATCAAAGTACACCTCTGCCGTGTTTGAGGCCTTGATGCCCATCTTCTTCTCGGGGGGCCCGCTGTGACAGGGCAGGGTAGAGAAAGAGGTATGTTCAACAAGTTGCCACAGGGAAAACTTTTGCTCCCTCATTCCTTATGAACCAGGAACAAGCTACAACTCCCAGATTCAGGAGGTACAGTCAACGGTACTCTGCATAACCTGAGGGTTGTGGAGGCCTGGCTGTATCCTGTTGCCATGGGTGGGGCTCATTGGCTGAAACCAAAACTTTGGATCATTTTTATATGTAATCCCAAGGGGAACATGATGTCCACTTGCTTTGGCTTTTGCACACATTCCCAGGGTGACCTAGAACAGCATAAGCCAGGGAGCTCAGTACTGCCCCTTCCCTGGCCCCACCCCTTTTTCCCCACACCCACTCACTGGGTAACACCACCAAAGCTCCTCTCCACCACAAAAGCGGTGATCTTCTCTTTCACAGCTCCTGTGGCTGCATCTGTAACTGGTGTCTTGGCAAAGACCGTGAAAATATCTGCCAGGCCTCCATTACTGTGGAAAAATGAGGGGGCAGTCAGGGCACAGAGGACAGAGCAGTGTGGCTTAGAATTGGAGGGAGGTAGTGAGCAGGGCAAAAATGGGAGGAAGATTGCCTGATCCAAATCTTGCTTCCATTGAGGGTATAATATTTTCCACAGGGGCTGGGCACAGCTGAGGTCCGGATAGAGGCTGCATCTGACCCACTCGAGGGCTCGGTGAGACAGAAAGCAGCCAGAGTCTCCCCTGTTAGGGAGAGAGCTCCTTTACACCAGGTGCTGATGGGCAAAGGCACCCGCCTACCCACAGGGCAGTTCCCTCACCAGCATTCTGTGATGCTTTTCTAGGATCTCCCCCCACCAATGGACAGGCCTAGCTGTGTTGTACCACGGGCCTCGTGTGCCCAACCCAGGCCACCCCCAATTCCTGGGTCTCCTAGGACTGCCTCACCAGATGCCAGTTTGGGGAGGTATTTTTCCTTTTGGGCCTTTGTGCCAAAGAGCAGGATGCCTTTGAAACCGATGCTCTGATGGGCCCCCAGGGTGATGCCTACACCAAGGTCATGCATGCCCACAATCTCCACCAGGCGGGCATACTGGAAGGGAAGCAAAAATCCAGAGCTGTAACTTTGCCCTTAGCAGTCAAGTGGGCAGCAGGTCAGGACGTGACCTGGGCATTCTGACAGAGTGGAACGGGTAAGCCAAGGGAAAGGAGAGGAGACACAGACAGAGAATAATGGTATCAGTACCAGGTTTTGTGGGAGGGAGTTCTACCCCATTGTCGGGCAGCCCCCACCTTAGAGATTCATCAGGATTTGGAATCCTGGATGAAGTTCATGGCCCTAGAAGATGACAGTATTTCATTTTGAGTGTACACATCAAGGTCCTCATCCCACAAAACCCCAAGGGCAGTTTCTTAAGAGATTTTAATCTCAGGATTAAGGACTGAGCTCTGCAGTGGCTGGCAATTACCTGGGGGCTCCCTCACCTGGGTGTTGCAAAGGCCCACACCGCCCAGCTCACTGGGCACTTGCAGACCAAAGGCCCCGAGCTCCTTGAGGCCCTGCATGGTGGTCTCCTCCACCTGCTCCATCATGTCATTCTTGGCAGGGTCGTTCACCTCCTGGGGAAGTCACAGGATCCCACATCCAGGTTCCCTTTTTTAATTTCTTTAACTTCTCCCCCCCCCCCCCCCCCCCCCCCCCCGCCAGGGACCAAGGCCTCTGTTCCCCAGCCCACCTCGAAGAAACGGGATACAGGTCCCACCAGCTCTTTGAGAAACTGTGTCTGCTCCTCGTTGAGCACTGCGTGGGCAGTAGGGTAGGAAAGGGCAGGTCAGGCCAGGCAGCAATGCTAACCACCCTCTTCGTGGTACCCCTTTTTCCTACCCCCCCCCCACCCCTCGGGGGCTCCTTCCCTTACCATCCGGGAATGGAAACACCTGATCGGTGGTGAGTTGGCCCTTGAACATACCCACAGCAAAGGACTTTGATTCCTATACATGGACACAGGAGATTTAATGAGCGGGCTAGGGTGGATCTTCCCTAGCTGAACTACTCCCAGCCTCGGGGTGACGTACTGCCTTGGCCGGTTTTTCCCTGGTCGAAGCAGCATCGGCGGCGAGGGGTTGAGCCTTGTCCAGAACCGCCTGGGGAAAGGGATAGTTACCGAGGCAAGACTTCCGAAATGCCAAGATGCAGAAGAGAACAGCTGGATGCCAAGGCTGGGCGGGCTCGGCGACCTTTCCTCCAGTTTTCGTCCCCAGGACTCCTTGGCCTGCCCTTTCCCCTACTTTCGGCGCCAGGGCTGTAGGCAGGTGACTGGGACGAGGAGGGAGACCCCTGCCGGCTTGGGGAGGTGGGCGCCGAGGGGGACTCCCACTCCCAAACGCCGCTCCCCAGGCCGCCGTCACTTACCTCAGCGGCCCCATTGGCATAGGGTCGGTGGGCCGGGCCGGGCCGGGGCTGCCCCAGAAGCGCACTGGGCCGCAAGCTGTGGGGAGTGGGAGTTTAGTCCTGGCCCCGCGCCCAGGCCCGCTATCCCCGGTCCCTCCTGTCATACACACACCTTCCGCCCCCCAAGCTCAACAGCTGCCGCCCGACGCGCGGGTACATCCTCGCCGCCTGCATATCCGAGCAGCTCGGGACACTGTTGCCTCGAGCGCTGACCTAGCGCACTGGTCCGGTCAGCCAAAGTCTCGGGTCTCCCCAGCCCTGAATCACGCTCCACAATGCACCGGGAGGCCGGCGGGCGGGGCTTCCGGGCGCCGGCGCATGCTGGGAGCCGTAGTTCCAGAGCTCACCCCAGCGCCAGAAGCTAGTGACCTAGGGTGGTTGCAGGCGTCCCTTGTCTCCCCCAGATTTCTTCATCTCACCTGTCGGAACTATAGTGTAGCCGTCGGGAGGGGTGACGGGGTAGGATGTCGGAAAGAGGGCGGAGCTTAGATGACTGCGGCCCGAGGCATAGAGGATAGATTGAAAGGAGGACTTTCCAGGGAGAAGTGGGAAGAGAGGTGTTAAGGCAGAGGAGAGGCATGGAAAGACAACCCTTTGGGATTCCTTGTGAACCTTTGTGAAATCGTCTCCAGCAACACAAAAGGGAAAATGGTGAGGTAGGGGACTCAAGCTGGGGCGTATGTATGTTCCAAGCATATTCTCCTGAGACCTAGGAGATACTGTTGTTCACTGTGGAAACACCTCAATTTTCACTGTAGGAAGGACCCCTCACCTCCATCTTTCATGCCTCCCCCTGGCTTCTGGGATTCCTTCCTGAACATCTCTCTCTCTCTGGCCTCTGTACCTTCCCTAAACCATGCGTTCAGATTAGACCTCTGGCAGAGGGACTCTTCTCAGGCTTGAGGGGAACTGTAGGAATTCTCATGCTGCACCCCAACCCCCGCCCCCACTCCTCTCCCTCACTTCTCTAGTGTTGGGTCAAGAAGTTCTAGGTAATTTATATTCCTCTTTCTGCCATTACCTTTGAGGACAGGCCAGTCTAGAGAAGACGGGACTCAGCTTCCTTTCTTTTTCAGCTGCCCCATGGGAGAGAGCCTCCTTGAAATGATCCTCTTCCCTAGTTCCTCATGAAAGTGAAGCTAAGACATGCCTAGCTTTGGGAAAGGGGCCATGGTGTGTAGGGCAAAGTGATGGTGGTCCCTGGGGACCTGGGGAAAATGGGACAGCAGTTGGTCCAGAGACTATTTACTTTACCTAATGGTTAGAGTTGTGTGGGGAGAAGGCAGCTCCAGTCAATCCCAGCGGATTAGGGAGATTAAAGCAAGAGAACAGAGAGATGTCCGAGAAAACAAGAGGTGAAAAACAAGAGTCTGTGGAATTGAGATCTGGGGCTAAAGTGGGGAGCTGTGAATCCCTCTGGGATTCCTCTCCTTGAACCCTTTCATAGAGTCTGGGGTGAAAGGGCAGAGAGTGTGTGAATGTATTAGTCTGTCTCTTCCCTGTTCCAATACTCCCTCACTTGCATTTGCCAGCTCCCAGGTCAGCCCTCTGGCTCCTGGCCCCCCCACTATTGCGATGGGCACCCCCTCTCCTCACAGTGCTGCACAGTGACCTCTTCCAGGCCTTGCTGGGTGAGTAGCCCTGATTTTCTGAGGTGCAATGGGGAAAAGGACTGACTGAACTTGGGGGCTGTTTGGGAGCCTGCAGATCATTTGCTTCAAGCAGGGGCCCCACTAGGGGTCATGCGGACCATGTTCTACATGGAGCATTTTATCAGCCTTGGCTGGAGGCGCTCCTCCCTAGCCAGATGACCAGAACAGATAATGGCAGGGAGGCAGGGGTGGGGGAGGGTAACTCAGTTCTGTTCCTTTGACAGATATCCTGGACTATTATGAGGCTTCCATCTCTGAGAGTCAGGTAGGGGCGTGGGGTGGGGGCCTCACTCTGAGGGAGCAGGCAGAGATGGAGGAGAGCAAAGTGTTGCCAATATTAAACTGAGACTTAGGGATCATGGTAACAAAATCCTGAGTCAGGGGCACAGAGAATTCCCTCTTTCCATCTTGCAGCCCCTTCTCCTCCTGCTTCCCTCTTTTCTTTGCTTGTCCCAATTTCAGGCACTAAAGAGTCCAAGACATAATTACTTTTCAGGCTTCCTCAAGAGAATTCGGCAGGAGAGCTAAGCCCCCAGGGATTCCCCTTGGCAGCCCCTCCCTCACCCCCTACCCTCTACCTTGGCCTCGCCTGTATTTAAACAACCGTGGTGCTCTCAGCCCATCTATGGGGCGCATTCTCCTCTAAGAAATGAGATCCACCCGCACAGCCTCTGCTGTCGTTGCTGGTGGCAGACCAGGTCTCCTTGTTCACCTCAGGGCCTCTCTGCTTTGGTTTCTAATGTCCTTTCCCATTATCCGGGTTCCTGCCAGCATTGAAGGAGTTAACTCTGCCAAGGCACCCCCCCATTCTCGCTCCTCGCTCCCTCCCTCCCCCTGCTTCCTCTCTCCTCCTCTCTCCCCTTCCCTCCTAGGCTCCACGGCTCCCTTGGCCGCTGCCGCCTCCAACCCCCCCACCCCACTCCCCACCACGGCCCCTAGCCCCTGGCCGTTAGGCAAGATCCCCCCCTATCCCGGGGCTCCCCGAAATCCAGTTCCCCTCCCCCACCTTAGCTCATGCCCCAGCCCCCGAACTCCGGGGCTGCCAGCCCCCGGTGGTGCCCTCGCCCCTCCTGAGAATCGGGGTGTGTGCCCCAAACCCCATCCCCTCCATTGGGGACCCCTTTTTAGGGCCCCCTTCCCCTCCCTCCCACGTTCCCCTATCCTCTTCTTCTCCAACCCCCTCTTTCCCCTCTCACCCCTCCCCCCATCCTGGCCCCCCCTGCAAAAGTGGGGTGCGGAGGGGGGAGGGGTGAGGACCCGCGGAGGGGAGGAAGGAAACTCCGATGAAGTCAGAGCCCCTTACCCGCCACCGCGGCCAGGCCCCCCAACATGGACTGTCTCTGTATAGTGACAACCAAGGTAAGCATGATGGAGGGGGGCTATAAACTGGGAGGAGGGTATGAGTTTGTGGGGAGGGGTTAGGCAGCCTTAATTTGGGGCTGGGGGCCCTAGAGTGAGAGTATGAGAAAATACATTTGGGGGTCATAATTCAGTTTGGAGGTTTACATCTAAAAATGCTGGGTTTGGCCACAGGTGCCCCCTGGAGTGATCCCTTTATACCTGTAGAGAAATGGTTAATTTGGGGTATTCTATGATTTTGGGGGCCTGGTAGGTTTGCGTTTGTTTGAGGGAGACTTACTTAAGGAGAAGCCTGGTTCACACGGGAGTCCTGCTCCTGTATGTAGACAGTGGGCTACGTGTGTATATGGGGGGGTCCTCTTCTATCCTGGGGGATAAGCTGTGTTCCAGGTGCTTTGTCCAATTTCAGGGGGCTCCTGGCATGGGGATAGGTTATTGGTTGTGAGTCCCTGACTGGTCTGGGGGTGTCAGCTGGCAGGGAAGGGGTGGGCCTTCAGGCTATAGAACAAGCATCTGGTGGTAGATACATTTGGAGGTGCTTTCTCAATTCCAGGAAATTGTTAATTCAGGTTTTGCGCTTATGGAATGGAAATAGTTGGGGGTTGTCAGAGGGCTGGGCCTGACAGATTCACCTGAGGGACTGGATCAGGTGAGGTTAGGATTTGGGGTACTCCCATGGGAGGTAGAAGGTTGCAGCAGCTGAGGTTGTCAGCTTCTAAGGAGGAGGAGGAGAAGGAGGAGGAGGAGGTAGAGGATAGGTTTTGGGAGAGGGGATTTGAGGAGTGGGGGGCAGGTGGGTGGTGCAAAATGGGGGGGGGTGACCCAGGCAGGTACCCAATGTCTGAACCTCCTCCCACACTGTGTGTACCCCTGGTTGAAGAAGTAGGAGAAGAGCAGATGGAGGGGAATGTTCCCATTTCCCCTGATACTTGGGATCAAGGTAGGGGAGTACACCTGGATTTAAGGTTACTGGGGTGAAAAGGAGTAGGAGGAGGGCAGGACTGGTGGTAGTGAGGCTCTGTACAAGGGTATCCTTGTGGTTGGTTGTTGCTGGAAAGAGCAGGAGATGGATGGGGACTGCAAGCAAGCTTCTGGTGGGATGCAGAATACCTAGGTCTTGGCTGTGAGACTAGGACTGGAAAGCTGGATGCCTGGTGTGTGGAGGGAGGCTTGGGCGGGTGGCAGGCAGCTGGGGGTTGGGGGGTGGGACAGGAAGTGGGGGCCGGGAGGCGGGTCCGGGTGAGTCACAGGCTGGGGAGGGGGTTATATTTAGTGGGAACTGCAGCTTCTCAGGGGAGGGAGCTAAGGACACACATGTTCCTTGCCACAAACTCACACATGTGTGTACACATGCATTGTGCACGTGTGAGCATGGATGAATGCAATTGGGGGTTGAGGACTTTTAGATTCGGGGTCCCCACTCCCTAGTCTCTGGGCCTTGGGCTTTTCTCCCAAGATGCTTCTTCCCCTATCCCCTGTAGTTTCAGTGAATTTTTGTGCCTCAGTTTCTCTGGCTTGGCCTCCTTTAATGTCTGTCTGATCTGCTTCTACTGTCTCCTGCCCTTAGCCTGCCTTTTAGCCTTAGCTTTTTACAGGTGTACATAGAAAGCCAACTGGAATGCGTGTGTGGGCTGGCTTCCAATAGGTGAACACAAATATACCAGTGAGGGTGATGGGCTTGGCTGCATTGGCAGCTGTTATGGTAGGGGGTGCTTATTCAGCTCCCTTCCAGATTCCTGCTTCTTCGATAGAGCCCAGGATTGAGCATCTCCGATGGAAGGAGCCTTGCGCAGAGAGGATCATGCATTTGGATTTTACTGAGGCGTGGAGACCCAGGCTTGCCACATTCCTTGGACGCAAAACTTGTCAGTCTCCGGATGGTGGGGACTCCAACTCCCATAAGGCCTTGAGGCACAGATCCCTCAATATTAAAGGATTGCTGCCCGTGAGGCTGTTGGGAGTTGTGGTTCATCTCTATCCAGGGCAGCGGAGGGTTGCTCCTGAAGAGCCAGCAGGGGTCACATGGCTCCTGCCCCCTCCCCCCAATGCTGGGTAGGGTAGGGGCTGCTCAGACTTTGAGGACGCTTTGAGCGTCCCAGCTCCCTCTGAAAGTCGTCCATCTTTCATTGCCTATATTTAGACTCCTGTTGCAGTAATTTAAGGAATATTTGTTGAATATCAGCTACGTGCCAGGCCTGTGCTTTGTTCCAACTCTGCCTTTACAGCTATCACTTAGTCTTAATCCGTGCCTGTATC